CGTCTGAATAATGTCCAAGCCAACAAAAAACTCTCTGCTCTCTTTGAAAATAGACTACTCATTCATAACTGTCATCATGCCATCTGTCGGACAGGAAAAGCTTTCATGTTAGGGGTACGTATAGAACTTTTTCATTGCGATCCTATATCCCTGAGCAAAGATGTCAATTTATATCCAACAAATACCCAAAAGATACCAAATCCACGGACCAGAAATTATTCTAATACCAACAATTTTTTTATAAATTTGCACATGGAACAAGTAATTAAAATTGGCCTGTAGGATTCCACCCTATTTTGTGATACATATTTTTATCTTAAACGAGAGGTAGGACGTAGGAATTAGTCCATATTGAACCAAAACGCTGTTACATCGGTATGAAATTAACTATACCAATATGATATTGGACTGATTCCGGAAGGTGTTTTAGAAATATGTTTGAAATAACATCGGGTCCAGGACAAAAATCTTTAAACTATGAGAATGGTGTATTAAGTTTTTGAAATGTAAAGCGACTATTAATTCCTACGTTACGATTTTAATTATTAAGAGAAGTATAGGTTTCTGATTATGAGTGTGAAGTGTCAGTCCGAGGGTTTTTGATGTTAGCTAAAAATGCGCTAGAGCGTTTGCAATATCTTCACCTGTGGATATTATTTTATTTTGTACTTTTAAGTTTTTGAAAAGACCAATGATGATGTAAGTATCAGCAACAAGCACACATAAAAATATAGTGTAATAAGAGGGTAGCTTCAAAACCATTTTCAAATCGATAAACCTCCCATTTGAATAAAGGAAAATATATTAAATAAAATCAAATATAAAAAAATTAATGATTTAGAAATATACTGTATGAAACCTTGAAAGCGTTTAATAAACCAAATCCATTTATGGATTAAAAAAGATGGTATTATATTTAAGATATACCGAAACGTGAGTTTAATTAGACAAAAATACTTTTTCAATATAAAGGAGGTCACATTCCTAGCATTTAACTAACCTTCATTCTGTGTAATGATCTGTTCATTCATCTCATACTCGTACTAACCAAACGAATCACGTAAATAATACCTATAGAAAGTTACACAATCAGTTACATCAACTTGCGTCTAGTCTGCTAACAAGTCAAGGTTTTTCTTTTAGATATTTTTTGTAATGACGAGATTGTTATTTCAGACAACTGTTTAAATAAATATAAATAAATAATTTGCCCCCTAGGGACCGAAATTTCAAAACACAGTATTTAAAATTTTTAACCTATGGTTAATTCCCACTAAAAAATTATTAGTGTTATTATTGTAAGAGAATAATATCACACCAAAACAAAATTTATGTATGTAGCTAAAACTAGAAAATCAATATTTAGTAGTAATAAAAATAATTGAACGCCAAGATGGTCTTTGAAAATCTAAAGCGAATTTTGATGACCAAACATGCAAAAAATGACAACCCATGGAAAAAAACAAAAAAAAATCCGATAATGCATGAAACTTAGTTATTCCTCTGTAATTTATTGATTTTAGCACGATTTGTGGAGGTTGTAGAATGAACACAGAAAACTAGACAAGGTGGCAAAAGAAAAACAAGTCCACAGCAGCTTAGAGAAAAGTTGCTATCTAAGGTCCATATAGAGATTACGGCTAAGGGCCAGCAACCCAAATGAAAGTCTTACGTTGCGATGAAGCAAATCTGTTTAAAACTTTAATATTGTATAAATTTATCAGCAAATATGTAATACATAATAAGTTTAATGTAAAAGGCTTAAAAGGGTTTTTACCCACATATTTAGTGGCTTCGCTTATGTATATCTGATAACACCACTGATGATAGACCTGTCAGTCCGAAAACGTTTTGTGATGTAGTCCGAAAGTGTTTTTTTGAATCTTAGATAAATGATACCAATTTAATGTGGAAATTCATCAACTTGTTGTAGATTCCCACACTGCATTCAACAGTATATTAACTAGAGACTAGATCTCGAAAACACCGATCTTGGACAAGGCTACCCATTAACTTGCGTACTATTTAATATAGCACTAGAATACGTTGTAGAAGATTCCAACATAAGTTTAAGCGATCAACACGACGTACAAATCGTGGTATATGCCGATTATGTAAATATCTTAGATTTTATGCAAAACACATACTAAACTTATTCTTTTTTACAGAAAAATCCAAATCTAACCAAATATACACAGTCGGTGAGAAGTCACCCAAATTATAAATAAATAGGGAGAAAAATATACAAAGCGTCTTGGAATATCTAATCTGAGATCCCTAACAACAGATGGAGAAAAGATGTACATTAAGCACAGAATCTATCTAGCAAATCAAGCATACAATAGACTTTTAAGATAAATGAAATCAGACATATCTACCAGGGAAACTAAATGACGAGTTTATGAAAGCCAGACTAGAAGATACAATTTCGAATTATATCCAGTTTACGAAAAACCTATTGTGGTAAATCTTGATCTTGGTGAATCATGTGGAGTGTAACGAATCTTCAGAACTAGCAAGAATCATAACCCAACAACACATAGTAAAAATGTACCATAGAAGCCGCCAAAAAAACAATATATGGATCAAACAGAGGTATTTGAGAAAACTAGAAACTTTAAACTGGAGAACAGAAGCTCCATTCAAATAGAAATGATTGGAGAGTATTAATTTAACAGGATTGGAAGGTCCAATATCGGTTCTGGAGTCAATAGTGATGACAAATATGAAGTTGTTGCTGGATTTAAGTTTTAGTCTTGGTATATAATAAAAGAGTGGAACATTTTAGATATCTGGGTAGGTGGATTGACTGCAGGGTTGAAAGTGACGAGGAAATTTCGACTGGAATAGAACTCGCACGGAAAAACTTTATTAACTGGCGTTCTGTATTATGCAGTAGAAGTCTGACGTTGACAACACGTCTAACAGTTTGAAGTGCTACGTCTGGTCTACTTTGTTCTATGGATGTCAAACCTGGACAACAAAAATAAAAAATCTTAACAAATTAGAAGCGTTTGAGCTATGTTGTTACCGTCGCATACTTAGAATCCTTAGGCAGCACACATATCTAACGAATGTGTGCTAGAGACCGTGCACAAAGAGCGAGCATTGATCAACATCATCAAAATGAGAAAGGTCCAATACTTCGGTGATATAATGAGAGGACCTAAATATCGCTTACTTCGGTTAATCATTCAGGGCAAAATCGAAGGAAAACGTTGGGTCAGAAGAAAACAACTGTCCTGGCTGCGTAACATTAGACAATGGACAGGTCGAACGGTAGAGGAACTGCTTCATCTAGCTGCCAACCGCGAATCATTTCATCAACTTGTCAAATGACGATAGCCAACGCTTAAATACAAGCACGGCACACAAAGAAGATACAATAAAAATATTTTCAAGATTGATATAATGCTTATTTCCTAACCACAATTTTCAGATAAAAGTTATTAAAAAATGCTAAGCTATAAAATATATAACACAAATTATCCTGATAATACTATACATGGAGGGTCTGCTATAATTATCGAAAGCAGTATAAAACATTACGAACTACCGCACCTGTAGGCTACAATCATAGTAATTGAAGACTGGAGTGATTTAATCACTATATCATCATTATAATACCCACGCATAAAATAAAAACAAATTAGTTTTATGAATTTTTTCAATCTCTTGGATTAATGTTCATAGTCGGTGGTGATTACAAAGTGAAAAATCTTTTTGATGGATGAACCCGTTCGGCAAACAACTACTTCGGGCAAGAAAACTTCCAGGTGTCCTTACACTAGCCAGTATTCCTCATTTCATCTTCTCAAATAATGTTTTTGCATAGACCTCCTACGCTCAATTTGTCAAAACCCATTTGGAATTCATTTGAGGAAACTATTACTAATAACCTAATCATAAAGTTATGTCTAAAGATGTGATGTGGATACTATTGGGGATCATCTTACTAAATGTATACAGAAAGTGTGCTGGGAATCCGCTCCACCACCCAATAATAAACCTTATAGGGAGTTCTGTCCTGAGGTCAGTACACAAAAAATTATACAAAAGACAAAGCAAAACAATCGAACAGCGACCAATAAAGCTGCATTTAACAACAGCACAGCAAAAGACCTTATAAAAATGATTAGTGGCCTAAAATATATCAACTGCAAATTACCTAAAAGACCATAAGAAACAACAGATTACACTCTTTGCAAGGCTACCAGAAGATTGTTACGACCACAACATCATAGATTTTACAGGATCTGGTAGCTACTGGATACTGTTGATATCCATTTCAACATTTAAAAACATAACTTCAAGTAATATGTGAAAGAAAAGAACTGCAAACCATTTCTAACGCCGTTTCTCTTTTATCGTTACTTTCAAAGGAAGAAATAACTACTTTTTAAGAAATTGTTAATCTCCTGGAAGTTTTAGGCGTAGTCAACCTATGTCAACATCTGAAGCTAAAAGATGCTTCTCTGTTGTTTTGAAGTGATATAAATTATTGTTTGATGCGAATTCTGATAAGTTTTTATTATTGTTTTCGATTTAAAAATACTAAGTGTACCCGTTACCCTTAACATTTTTAATATTTTCTTATTGTTGTTCTTGTTGTCGGTTTGTTATGACATAATATCGTTATTCCTTGCCTAATTTTTACAATTATTTAACCATGCGGTCAGCTAATTATAAATAAATGTTAATTTTAATGAAAGTATGCCCAAGAAATAAAAAAAATCCTTTTTCATCACCAAGTGACGAAGTGAGAAGACTTAAGACCCACAAAACCCTGGACTTACGGGATAGATTTAATAAGTAAATTGTTTAGAATATAAGAAAATTAGGAAGGTACTAGAACTAACACATACTCTTCGCTCATATTAATTTCTCTTTTATTAAATTATCAAATTTGATTATTGTCTACAAAACATTGATTTTTTATTTGCTTTTTAGTTAATATTTAAATAATAATATATATTATTAAACAGTAAAAAAGTACTTACTAGCTTCTTTGGGTTTTGGTAGGGGCTGTAGCTGCAACTCCGCGTTTGGCTTCCAATTGGCTCTCCAAAAAGAAAAACCACCTGGACAACATCTTGCACCAAAATTTACCCTTCCCATATTATTTTCAGGTAGTAACACAAAAATATAACGCAAAATTGATTCCTAATTCTTCATTATTGAATACAGAATAAAAAAACTTTCCAAGCATTCGACTTTTAATTACTATTATTTAATAAACATTATAAATAATTTATCAATATTATGTTTAATATTTTTACTCAACTCGCGCGAAAAATGCGAATAACAAAAACCACTTGTCTGTAATCACACAACCGACTGTCTGAGCGCATTTCATACTACCATACCAACATTGGCATTGGTTGATTGAAATAACTCCTACGCAATTATTCATACTTATTTGTTTTTTTCGAACACCTCCATGTGCGATTCATACCCGGAAGACTATATTATTATGCAATTACTACGAGAAAAATTAAAGATATGGGCTAGCTATTAAGGAGAATAGAAAATCTATCAATTTAATCTCGATAAAGTAAGATAGTATTTTAATTTATTTTAAAAAGTGAAAATTAATGTAATTACAAATAAAATGGAAACACAGATGGTTTGCTGAAATAAAATTAATTGTAGACCTAGAGAAGCTTGACAAACCATTAACAATCTAAGCAAAAATAGAAATTAAAGAATCAAAAATCCCAAAATACTAATAAAGTGTATTTGGACTTTTCGTCATTACAATCATCTTCTTTATCTCTTCGTTATGCATTATTGATTTGGGTTTTAGGTCTCTCTCAATTGCTTCCTTCTTTCTCTATCCTGTGCTAACTTCATTCATACCACTGATCCCACTACTGCTCTTCTGTCGTCCATCTTTTTTGAGTTTCCCTGAGCTTCTTCTTGTCTCTCTTGGTCTCCACTTCTGGTTTCTACGTTATGTTATCCTGTTCTCCTGTTATCATAGGATCTGGCTATGTGGTCGGCCCATCGCTGTTTAATTTTTACCACCTCCTTAACAATGTCTTTAACTTTTGTTCTTCGCTTTATTTTGTTTTTATATTTTTTATGTTGCTTCCCACTAATTTTCAAGCCGCCTAAGTTTTATTGCTCTATGCTCTTTGCTCTTTGCTCTTTACTCTTTGCTCTTTGCTCTTTGCTCTTTGCTCTTTGCTCTTTGCTCTTTGCTCTTTGCTCTTTGCTCTTTGCTCTTTGCTCTTTGCTCTTTGCTCTTTGCTCTTTGCTCTTTGCTCTTTGCTCTTTGCTCTTTGCTCTTTGCTCTTTGCTCTTTGCTCTTTGCTCTTTGCTCTTTGCTCTTTGCTCTTTGCTCTTTGCTCTTTGCTATTTGCTCTTTGCTCTTTGCTCTTTGAATTATTTTTAGTTTGTCGCTGAAAAAGTAACTTTAATGAACAAAAAATTTATAGCAAAAGGAGACTTGCAACTGCAAATATCACCACTGGGGCACTATGGTAATCAGAACAAGGGGTAGACAACTCCTAAAATCAATAATGAGAACCAACCTACAATGTATATTTTCAGGAGAACCAACTTATTGACCTACCGATCCAAATCTCTTATCAATTCTCTTATCAATGGTAAAACACCAGATCTCTTAGATTTCTGTGTGATTAAAGGTACATCTCTTAACTAATGCACAATAAAATCATGTTCAGACCTTTTGTTAGACCATTCTCCCATTCTAATTGACCTAGAATCAATTGAGTTAGAGGCATACTCAGAAGTATGCCTCCAGTCCTTACCAATAACCAAACAAACTGGAACATCGCACGCTTGGACACGCTTTTAACAACTCTGATGGAAAATTGTTAGGGCCGGATGCTTTGTGCGCTTTCACTTTTTCTATTGTGATTTTTATTTCTTGCATTATTGATTCATTGGTGTTATTCTTAGTGTGTTGACATTAGGTTTATATTTTTACGTCTTCTGGTAGTAGTAGGACTACACTTAGACTTACTGACATCTTCTTCTTCTACTTCAGCCTGTGTTCGTCCACTGCTGGACATAGGCCTCTTCCATTTGCTTCCATCGATTTCTACTTTTGGCAATTCTCATCCACTGCTTGCCCGCGACTTGTTTGATATCGTCTGTCCACCTCTACTGCGGTCTGCCTACTCCTCGTCTGTTCCCTCTTGGTCTCCAGTTTGTTAAGACTTACTGACATATTCATGCAATATTTTGTCTTGTTTCTATGGCAAAAATATCCTGACCTGTAGTATTGCTTTTTAGAATTTTTTGGTGGGTGACATATCCTTTATTGGCTAGTTGTTTAGTAATAGTATCTATATAATTGTCTCATATTGTTCATCGCTGACCCGCGCTTCTTCCGCAAGATTTTCTACCCTCTTTCTTTTGTATTTCTTTGTTGGCTTCTTGAAACCTTTATTCGCTTCTTTATAATTTTCTGTAAATCGTTTCTTCTCTGCTTTTGTTCGGTAATTTACTAGTTTTAGATTATGTTTGCGACGTTCTTTTGTTTAACGTTTCTCTGGTGATCTAATCTTTTTTTACGTATTTCTTCACGCCCAAAATGTTTTCATTTGTTTCCACAAGGGCATTGCTAATCGTTTCCCAACTTTTGTTCTGCCTTTCATCTATTTTGAGCTGCAGTTTTCGTACAAATTCTATTTTTAGGACAACTATCTACTATTTAGGTATTTACTATTTTTAATAAATGCAGACAATGTAAAATTTCTTTATTAGAAAAACTTATAAAACAAGTGTTAAGCATACTTAATTATTAATTTACAATACTGTAAAAAATATATAAACATGTAATACATCTAGAACAAAACGTAATAAACATAACTACCAAATGTGTTTATTAACAAAGCAAATAAACCAAACCACATTGCTTTACAAGTAATTAACAAAAATATGATTTAGAAAGTGCCTGCTTTTCGTAAACTGCCAAAAATTTGGGTTCAGTAGGAATAGTATTTTAAGACTACCATGGTTTAAATGAAACGAATTCTGCCATTTTCAAAATAATAAAATAATGCTAATTTCTTGTGTCTACATCAGACTGCTTTCTGATGGTATAAATACTGTTCTTAATAAGTGCTATTCGGACTCTACACTCTCAAAACCAACTGTAAAGTGATGTATATTGACTTTAAACGCAAGTTTACAGACACAAGTGATGTTATAAATGGATTGGTCGCCTAAATTCGCTAACCAAATATCGAAAAAGGCTACAAAATAATTTTATTATTATATTTTGAATTTGTATTACTTAATAGCAAGCGCAAATAGTTAAAAAGATTGAAGCCTTTGAACTTTGGATATACCGGAGAATGTTGAGAATCCCATGGACTGCCAGGGTCACCAATGAGGAAGTGCTGAGAAGAATGGGTCGAGTCAAAAAATTGTTGAGAACGATAAAAGTACGCAAGACTGCATACCTTGGACACATACTAAGAAATAATAAATATAGTCTTCTGCAGGTCATCATGCAGGGTAGAGTCGATGGCAAAAAGGGAATAGGTAGAAAAAGGAAGTCATGGCTGCGAAATATTCGAGACTGGACAAACATGACTGTAGACGAATTATTCCACGTTGCAAAAGACAGAGAAGCTTTTAAAAATGTGGTCGCCAACCTCCGTTAATGGGGACGGCATAGGAAGAAGAAGAATACAAATAGCATAGATCAATAGCACTTCGCCCTGTAGTCAAATTGACAGTCAATTGAGAAGATAGCAGCAACTGGTCATCATCCAAAGTAACCAAAGACGCAACACCCAGCTAATTAGGTTTTGGTGTGCGTTTTTTGAGATGCGTAAGGTATTGGGATTGGATGAAGATCTATTGTATTAACTAACATCGTTCTCAAACTAAAGTCATCGTTGTGCAAATACTTGTAAATTTTGAAATTAAAAGGACTTCTAGAGATACACCAGCAGCAGCTCCTTTGCAAATCATTAGAAGGGAAAGGCTAGAATGATTATAGACTGCAAGAAAACCTGAGTTACGTAATGAATAGACAAATAACAGAAATATTATTAAAATTTGTTTTCTGCAGAGTAACATTGTATTTAAAACAACCAGTATAGTGAGTAAATAAGTTAAAGACAACACGACTAAATCATGTCGTAATAAAAATTGGGATATAGTTGTTTTCTTTTTTCCGCAATCGAAAGTATGGTGGATAACAGCCTTATCAGTAGACTTCGGCAAATATGCATATTGCATATTTTGCATATTATGCATATTTTATGCAAATATTTCATATTTTGGCATATTTGTATAAAAGTTTGCATAAAGTGCATAAAAATTCAGATTTTTATACTGTATTTGAAAATTTTTTAACATACCAATTTATTTCAATTCTTGTATAAAATTTTGTAGTCATTTTAATCAAGAAATGATCTAAGTACGTAATCTCTACAGGTACAAAACATTTACAATTTCAAAGAAGATCAATTTAAGTAGCCCTCAACATTCTTAGAAAGTCTCGGTCACTGAGGCATTCAGTTATTGGATAATCGCTAAGGGTTTGCTCATTTGCATTTTATGATCTAATCCCCAAATCTATCTACAATTTATTGTATCTTGTATTGTATTATATTGTATTGTATATTGTAACAAAAAGGAAGATTGTGATTTTATAATGCCTAAAACAACCAGTGCTTCAACTTGGATTAAACCTTATAAAGAGCTGTCTATGGATATGGGAAAAATCTACTGTTCAGTCTGTGGCAAAATTGTAAGTATCTAATATTTTCTATTAAATATCTAATATTTCATACATACAAGGTGTTTCCAAATGACACTTACAACGTTTGACTGTAGATACTTCTCGAAAAATTGAACAAAACGATATAGTTAATGAGGGGTCAAACTTATTTACTTTTCGAGATACAGGGTGTTAAAATTTAAAAAAATTAAATTCTTTTAGTTAATAACAACAATAACTTTAAAACCAATAAACGTATTTACTTGAAATTTAGTACTCGTAGGTTGTTTTTAAATGAAAAATAGCTTCCTTTAGTGAGAAAAAATTGTCCATGGTACAATACAATGGTGTGTATTTAGAAAAAATTTTCACCTTTACTTTTTTTTATGAAGTCAGCTATTCTAAAACACAATTATTTTTATTGTAATTGAATTAACAAAAAAAAAACTTTTGTTGAATTTTAAAATAAGTTATATGATGTACTAATGGTTAGTAACAAAAACTAATTTGTGGATTAATACTGCATTTAAAACACTTAGCGAGTGTTTTTTTTTCCAAACCAGTTATTTAATTAACCAAAAACACCTTGTATATTTTTATATTTTAAAGGTTGGGTTAAAATAAAGGTTTTTATTTTTATTTATAGATAGCATGTGAGAAGAAATTTCAGATAGACCAGCATGTGAGAACTGCTTCACACATTGCAAAAAAAGGAAAAATAGGAGGAAAACATCAAACTTCAATGGCTAAATCTTTCCAATCTACTTCAAAATAATTAGATGAGCAAGAAACTTTTAATGAAGACTTGTGTCGCGCATTAGTGTCTGCAAACATACCGCTTTCAAAATTAGCAAATGTAAATTTTAGTTCATTTCTAAAAAAATATTGCAAACTTAATGTTCCAAGTGATCGGTCTCTAAGAACAAATAATGTGAACGGGCTATACTCGTCGGTGTTAATTAATATTAAGGAAGAAATTGCAGATAATTATTTTTACATATCTGTAGACGAAACCACTGATTCCTCAGGAAAGTATGGTGTTCTTAAAGAAGATACCTTACCAAAATCTCATCTTATTTCATGCCAGCAACTTGAGAAAACAAATGCTTTAACAATTTCGCGTTTTATACAAGAAACATTAGCAACTTTTTTTCTTCCGACAACTATTCCTTCTAATAAATTATTGCTTATTTTATCGGATGCTGCTCCTTATATGGTGAAAGCAGGACAAAATTTAAAAATATTTTTCCCAGATTTAATACATGTTACTTGTGTAACGCATGGATTAAACAGAGTTGCAGAGGAAATACGAAAAAAGTTTCCTCTTGTAAATACCATGATATCCAGTGTATTTCTTAAATCTCCTATAAGAATTCAACTTTATAAAGAAATGCTACCTAACATTCCTCTTCCACCACAACCTATTTTAACGCGATGGGGAACATGGTTAGAAGCAGCTAATTTTTATGCAGATCATTTTGTTAAAATAAAGAACATAATTGATACGTTAACAGATGAAAGTTCCCAATCTCTTTTGGATTCTAAACAAACTTTTCAGAGTAACTTGCTTCAACAAGAACTTTCATTTATAAAATCAAATTTTAGTTTTGTTCAAAAAACAATTACTCAGTTAGAATCACCAAAACTGTCATTGTTCGAAAGTACAGCATTAATAAAAGAATTTGCGTCATGTTGTCGGAACGTTAGAGGTAATATTGGAAAAGATATTTTAAAAAAATTTGAAGCTACTATGGAAAAAAATAAAGGTTACCATATTCTTTCTGAAGTAGTCAGTGTTCTAGCTGGAAATATTTCGGAAACAATTAATTTAGAACCAAATGTTTTGGTTAGTTTGAAAAATGTTCCCATTACATCAGTTGATGTTGAACGAAGTTTTTCCATATATAAATATATGTACTCAGACAGAAGCCACAAGTTTTTGTTAGAAAATTTTGAACACCACTTGGTCATTTATTGTTACCATAATTCTAAATAAGTTTATTCATACTTAAAAATGATGTAGTTACTTAAAATAAATGTAAATCTTAATGAATAGTAGGAAATATTTAGTTATGTACACTTTTTTTTAAATAAAATTGTTACTATTTTATGATTTTGTTATTTATTTGTATGCATATTTTGTAAAATATTTGCATATTTTCGGGTAAACACGTGCATATTTATGCGCATATTTTCTACATTTTTATTTGCATATTTGTCGAAGTCTACTTATCAGTTAGTACAGTAAAAGCCAACAGTTTGGATTCGATCTAAAAATATATGAACAAGTCAATAAATGTATTTTTTTCAAATTTTATATAAGACAAACGTATAGAAATTGTAAAGCTAAAACAAACGAACATAAAAAAAGTTTAATAAAAACATCAAAAATACAGATAATCTCCTTAATGACTCTAATGTATGTACATAAAAAATATTATTTATTAACATATATTTTTTATATAAGTGTAGTCTGTGTAGACCAATTTTATTTCTAGCATTACTGACTCATTTGTTTCTAACAAAGATATTTTCTTTAATTATTCTCCCAGCAGGTTTTATTTCGTAAAAAAGTGGTGCATGTTTTATATGTAGTAATAAACAAACATGTTAATATTTGGATTTTATCAAAGTTCAACTAGAAATACAACCTGATTAATATTAACGTTAATCAATACTTTCTTTATTCTAAACCTAACTACTAAAAATGATTAAAAGAATTTAAGAAACAGTAATATTAGTACTTCCGTGGATGTTGTGTATTTCTTTAGACGTAAAGTTAACAACAATTTTCTTAACTCCAGCATTCTTAGCTGTGAAGCCAGCAGAAACGGTAATTGTTTCTTTTGCCTTAACATCTACGTGTTTCGTGCTAACAGCTTTGGTTACTCCTGGGCCCTCCAAAACATAGGAACATTGTGTCAGAGGTATCTCCAAAGGATTATGGAATCTAAAATCAAAAATTATTATTACCCTAACTATTTTTTTAAATCTAATTCCACCAATTTTAATTTAAATTTATCAAAAATTAAATAATAATGAAATCAACGAACAAAAACGAGGTTCTCGATTAATTTATTAGATGGCGCGGTTACAAACTTATTACAAAAGTATATATTTAATCTGACACATATGATACACGAAGAAACTTGTAGAAAAAATTAACAAAAATTAATTTTTGTGTCAAACTGAGTAAAAAATTCATCTGTTATACTACGTCACTGACTCGCTCTTTAAAGCAGAGCTTTAAAGTACTTATACTATGTCCTTTACCACGCGCACCACTACTTAACTATTGGCTTTCCTACAGCCATCTTCAATCTTTTATCTTTTATATAATTATCTGCAGTATAATAGCTTTAAAATAGACGACTCTAGAGAACAAAGTTTAAAAACAATTCAAAAGTTCGTAAATTCAACAAATTCGAAACGTTTAATTAACATTTTTTTCCTGATTAATAAATAATTGATTTTGATTCATCAATATCCTGGACAAAGAATATCTCACTGGTAAAAATCTTAACTGTTATTTATAGAAACACCAATGTTTGTAGAATGTGGGTATGATTGTTGAAATATTTCAATTACATTTCTATTTCAATCGACAGGACGTGACTAATGGATAAAAAACCATATGCATTCAAAATTCTATTCTAAGAAAGCCATTTAACTTCAATGTTTTAAAAATAACTAAAAATTGTCATTTGTCATTTTTAGTTTTTAGATTTAAATGGAGTAAGAATCTAGCCATAAGTGAATCATTTTTAAAAATTAGAAAACTTCATTATTAAATGTAGCCGCACAAGTCTCTGTTTTTCAAGATCGCAGTATTATTCTTATAAAACTGAGAAACACTGTTTTTTAACCTGATATTCAACAAAATTTTAAACCAAAAACTACACAAGGAAACCCTAAAATTAGTATTTTCATCACCAGAAAAAAAAATATTACTTTATACTCGGTTAAATATACAGGCAAGAAAATAACCACTTACACACTGGTGTAAACAAACTAACATGTGGCTGGACAAAAACTAACATCGGTCAAACAGGTAGAACCTTTAACAAACGGATATCAGAACACAAAATGGCTTTCAATAATAGAAAAATAGATTCTACATAGGCACTTCACATTCTAGATCATAATCATTCTTTTAATAACCAATTTCAAATTCTTCACACCCAAAATAAAGGCCTTAAGCTATCTTTATTAGAATCTATGGAAATCAACAAAATAAAAAATACAGACATTCTCGTCGCATGATCAGTTTTGAAACAGTCAGCTGCCACTGTCCAAACCTATCGCCATGTCTGGCTACCCTTACTTTGTAGTTCTTCGTTTCCTAACTACACAACGAAAGAAGACGCATGCATACAGTGGTGCTAATTAATGGATACTTGACCTTAAATTTAACAAAGAACCTAGAACAGTCATCCATATTGTCCATGACTGCAAGACACTATTAAAGACGAAATACTGCTCACTGCTTCTTCTTCTTTAAGTTCCATCTTCTATCGAAGGTTGGAAATCATCATGGCTATGCGGACTCTGTTGACTGCCGTTCTAAAAAGTTCTGCACTACTGCATTCAAACCATTCCTTTAAGTTCTTAAGCCAGGATATTCTGCGTCTTCCCACATTTTGCTTTCCTTGGATTTTGCCCTGCATAATAAGTTGTAATAATGCGTATTTTTGCCCTCTCATCATATGTCCTAAGTAGTCAAGTTTTCGTCTTTTAATAGTTAATATTATTTCCGCCTCATTTCCTATCCTTCTAGTTACTTCCATGTTTGACATTCTTTGAATCAATGATATTCGTAGGATTCTTCTGTAACACCAAAATTCAAAGGCGACCAACTTATTCAGATGACCTTGTTTTAGTGTCCAAGCTTCCAAGCCATAAAGAAGAGTAGAGAACAAGTAACATCGAAGCATTCTCAGGAGTAGTTCTAACCTTATATACCGACAACAAAGAAACTTTTTAGTTTAATAAATTATGTACGTGCTATTTCAATACGTGTCTTAATTTCTTTGGTTTGGTCTACATCTGATGTTATCCATGTTCCTAAGTATTTATAGTTATTAACACTCTCAATTGCAGTATCTTCAATAGTCAATTGGATATTTGCATGTGCAGATTTAGTCATGATCATGCATTTAGTTTTCTTTAAATTTATCTTCAGTCCGTACTCATGACAGCGTTCATTAAGGCGTTGCATTACGTTCTGTAAATCATTGTTGTTATCCGTAATTATTACTGTATCGTCTGCAAAACGTAAGTTATTCAAAACTTCTCCATTGATAGATCTACCTTCCATTGAGTCTGAGAGCGCTTCTTGAAATACCGCTTCACTGTAGACATTGAAAAGTAGTGGGAACAGCACACAACCCTGGCGGACTCCTCTCTGTATTTTAATATTTTCGGTGTACTGGCTGTCAACTCTTACCTTGGCAGTTTGGTTCCAATAGAATTTAGATATAATTTTCAGATCACGACTGTCAATATTTTTGCTTTTTAATATATCTACAAGCTTTTTATGTTGAACTTTATCAAATGTCTTTTCAAAGTCTACAAAACATAAGTACGTATCCTGATTCATGTCCATACATCTCTGAGCCAGCACATTCAAGCCCAACAAAGCATCTCTTGTACTCATACCATTTCTAAAGCCAAATTGTGTGTCACTAATCTCATATTCAAGAGTTTTAACAATTCTGCTGTGAATTATTTGTAAAAATGTTTTAAGTGTGTGACTCATTAAAGCTATTGTTCTGTGGTCTGAGCAAGTTGTTGAACTTGGTTTTTTGGGAATTGCTGCAAAGGTTGATTGCAGCCATTGTCTGGGGATTGTGGCAGTCTGATATATTAGATTAAAGAGTTCAACCATTACATCAATAACATCTTCATCGATGAGTTTTAATAATTCGATGGGCACCTCATCTGGTCCAGTAGCTTTACCCTCTTTTGTGTTTTTGATGGCATAGATGACTTCTCTTAATATTGGTGGTCCGGTATCCTCGGTGATTTCTAATGACAGTTCTTCTCTTTCATCATTAAATAGTTGTTGAAGTTGAGTTGTTGCTCACTTCTAGACATATTAAATAGATGAAAAGAATAATTTGGAAAAAAATAATGTGAACAAAACGTGACTTACTTCACAATCAAGTGAATTCAAAGCAGCAATTAAAAGACAAACAAGCCATAAAGTAGATGGTTCAGACAGCATATCTATTAAAAGAGGATATAACATACCAAATCTGCCAAAGAGTATTAAAGACGCACGTTTCATTAGATTGGGAAAAGATGAGGATCTGTTTCTAGACAAAAAAGCAGCCATAGATATATGTAGTAATTATTGCAGAATAGCCTAATTTCACAATGCTGTAAAATACTCTTACAAATAATACTAGAGAGGAGAAAACCTTTTTTATTTCCAGAAACTATTGAAGTAGAACAAGCTAGAACAGAGTACTAGGAAACAAATATTACAAGTACGGTAGATTATAAAAAGAAAATTACAATATATATCTGCTTAATTAATTATAATAACGTCTTGGACCTAGTAAACTGGAAAAAGAAATAGCAGATTCTATTTTAAATGGGGGTGTTGCAGCACCAACACAAAGAAGCGTATTTTGTTAAGTTTAATGTAATTACATAATAAATATAACTTCAATATTTACTTACGTAAATTTGACATCACAATGCTGTCCAACTTTTGCCGTATGTGGGGCATTGATTTTAATATCAGGAAGCGTCAAAGTGAAATCATCTTCTTCACTCCAAACTTGTTTGGTTTCTGTAACATTTGCAACGGCATAAATCTTTACAAAGAAGTGATCTACTAACTTCTCCAAATAATCTTTGGGATAGACATCCAACCTGACGGTTTGTTTTTGATGAGGTGCCAGTTTAATCGCTCCTTTAGTTTTCTTTATATCATTAGCTGTGGTTCCCATGTAATATACAGAGGTAGCCGTAACCATAATTTTAATTGTCCTTTCCTGTTCAGATTTATTCTCTATTCTAACTTGTGCCATAAATTTATGTCCAAATGGAACAGTATCGATGTCTACCAGTTCAAAACCGACATCTTGGTGTTCTTTATTGGGGAGCTCGTAGATATGCAGCGCTTTTGGGACTCCTCTAACTGCATTGTAGACTGATAATCTTTCGGCTTCAGTCCCTTCTTTATTTTTAAAAAAATCTGTTATATCCCACACGTCGCTATCTCCAACGTTGTCAGTATGACCTGGTTTCTTTGTCACTATCAGCCTTCCAACACTAAAACAATTTAAATCAAAATTATTTTCTTATTCTACTGCTTTACTTTTTATAATGTTGAACATAATTAAAGCAACTATATGAGGAGGAAGGCAATTTTGCTTCCAATTTATGGTTCAAAAATATATAGAAATCACGTACAGAATATATACAATAAACTTACTGATACTGGTTGACAGATGTTGTACTGAATCCCCAATCAGATTCTTCGTCTTCTTGAAAATGAACGACATCGGCATTAACTTCAGAAAATACAAATGGTGTGTCGTACAAAAATCCAACTTCTCCTTTTCTAACTGCTTCAATAGATGCTGGTCCACATCGCATTACACTATCGCTGACTTCTTGTGGAGTAGCATCAATAACTTGCCAGCCGCCATAACCTGGTGATAAATCAGGACGTGACATCCAAACGTCATTCCAGACATGGAAGTTCCAGCAGGAATCGTTGCAAGCGCCATCTGGTCCTGATTCGATTCGTTCTCCAGAAGCATCAAAATATCTAAAATTTTCAGATACAATCTTTAATAACTGAATATTTATAAGGATTAACATAAAAACTAAATATTTTTTATTCATGATTCATGATATCAAAATTCTTTTATAGATGTTACAGACAACGTCCAAATGAACGACCTACAATTTGGGCGTGAGTTATAATATGTATCGAACATGGCAACATGGGCGATACGTCTTCACTTTACTTAAATATTCGAGTCTTATATGAGGTAAGAAGATATGTAGAATGCTAAGTAAAATTATAAATGATATTAGAGAAAAACTGGTTGATGATAAAGTGTAAACGTTTTAAAGTAAACTGAAATACTTCCAGTACTAGCAGATTTGGAATTCACAGATAATGTTTACTCAAGATACCAAATGAAATCAAAACTAACATGTTGCCATTATCCGCTATTTTTCTAGTTTGTTTTTGGCAGATAATACAATTTAAACGTCTTTTTGTGCGTTTGTAGATTGTGTGTAATCGAAAAAAGAAATAGATTAGAGAATTAAAATTAAATTTTGTGTGAAAAATTAAATTAAATTCTCTGGATGACTCAGTACGTCAACAACTGATGAAAACTTTAAAGAAGTTAATAAAATTCATATTACTGCCGAAATTTCTGAATCTTATTCCATCAGCATGTTTCCTGAGGTGTAATAAACATTAAAGAAGAGTCATACCAAAAAATGCATGTCAGAAGGCTTCTACGACTATAGAAATCGTTCGCACAAATGTATTATATCTCTTGAAGATTGCTTCAAAGAGGAAAAATAAATATTGATAAATGAGTATTTTTTGACTAATAATATACTATGGAAAAAAATTATCAGGAACAAAGATTTACTAAAAACTAGTGTTGCCCAAAATCGGTCTTGGTCTTGCAGCCTTGGTCTTGTTCTTGAGTTTTCACAAGACCAAGACCGCCTAATTTTAGCAAGACCAAGACCAAGACTGGCCGTGCAAGATTTGATCAAAAACAAGACTAAGCCTGCGAGAGTCTTGCGTCTTGCAGTTAGGACTGAGTGTCGTTTTAGATAGTATAGTAGTAGTTCGGGTATATGCTTAGAAACTTTATCAGACCCAAAAAAATATGTATCAAAAATTTGGAAAATTGGACTTATGTGCATTACGGACAATACCATAAACATACATAGCGAATTAAAATATTCCTTAAAAGAAGACTTGTCACATTGGACACGTACTCAGAGGTCAAAATTACAATTTAAAAATAAAAGATTTTGTACATTTTTTCCCAGCAGACGACTTCTTCGCTTTGAAATTAATTGTCCAGATTTTGAGAATAGCGTCCCTCTAATTATAAAATAATCTTCTTGCGTTGCGACGCCGACAGTAATATCGTATTGAAACTTTTTTAAAATATGTCACCCTAGCTGATAAAAAATATAATAAGGTTAGCATACCTACTATTAAGGACACCAACTTAATAGTTCAATTTTCTCCTTATTATAATTTAATTAGAAGGCATCTAAATACCACAAATCCTATCGGCCTTTATACTGAACATCGTTTCTGCTGAGTGTGGGATGAGATCATTCGGTTAAACAAAATTTGCTGAAGGAACGCGGGTAATATTCAAAAGTAACGAGACAAACTAATAACAGAAAATGCCGGCTATTTACCATATTAAGAAAACACCGTATTCGGTACTTACGGTATTGGATAGTAACGAATATAAAGTAACAAGTAGTTACTGTTTTGACTTCACTAAACTTCATTCCTACTTAAGCTTTTCTTCGAATCTAATGTAATAATTGTTTTTCATCTAATTCTTGTTCTCGAAGTGACAAGTTTTCAATTTGACATGAGTGACGAATATTCAAATAGTTCTAGTCAGAGTAATGATTTATTATAGTACTAGCTTTAACGTTATTAATTATATAAATAATAATAAATATTCATTGTTTGATGCAGATACAATTCTTTAAAATATATAATTTTCAAATATGGAAAGATTGTACAGTGACAAAATTCTTTGTTTAATGATTCAAGTAAACGTATTTGCCATATTAGTGCAAACAGGTTCTACAATTACATAAAAATGTGCAAATATCGCATCGTAGACCATAGTCTTCGCATATATTTATTCTTCTTGGGAGTGGGTCATTGAAAGAAATATTGGTAATTAAAATTATTATTTACTCACACACCTTGTTCGTCTGAAACCACTTTTAAAAATTTAATATTTTATTTTGATTTAATTATAAAATTGGAAATTTTCGTTAGGATTTTCTCAAAAAATGGTTTTTTTGATCTCATATAATAATTATAAAAGTCCTTAATAAAGGTCAAAAACAAGATGAACAACAGGGTGTTCGTAGTGGAAGATCGTGTACGGATGCAATATTCGTTATAAAGCAAATTACAGAGAAATCACTATAGTATAATAGACCAGCATTTCTGTGTCTGATTGACCAAAAGAAAGCGTTTGACAGAGTAGAACTTAAAGATATGATTTATCTTCTGTACAATAGAGAAGTTCCCCTAAACATTATAAAAATTTTCTACCAAAACAACAAAATGGAAGTCATAATAGATGATGAAATTACAGAACCTATAAAAATAGGCAGCGGAATCAGACAAGGAGATTCATTGAGCCCGATACTCTTTAATTTTTTCATGGATGAAATCATCAAAAACGTTAACAAAGGAAGAGGATACAGAATGGGAAAGAAAGAGGTAAGAATACTCTGTTACGCAGACCTCGCAATATTGATAGACCAAGATGAAGATAGTCTACAAAGGCTACTCCGCAGATTTAACATAAGAGCAAAATAATTTAATATGACAATATCATATCAGAAAACTGAAACCTCAGAAATAAAAAACCTGGGAATTACACTGTCCAGCTATGGAAACCTAGACAAAGAAGTGAGTGATCAAGTGATCAACTACAAAAAGCAAATAGACTGACAGGATGCCTTAATAACACTATATGGCGAACTAGACACATTAACACTGAGATGAAGTCAAGAATTTATAAAGCCAGTATAAGATATATGTCTCAGAAACAAGACCCGACACAGCCACAACGCAAAGACATCTGGAAACGGCAAAAATGAGAATGCTGAGAAGAATTACAAGAAATACACAAAGAGATCGAAACAGAAGTAAAGACATTAGAAGAAAACGTAAAGTACAGTGTATAAATGAATGGACAAAAAATAGAAAAAAAAATAGAATAACTACATAAGCAAAATAGAGGAGACCTGTGTCGTCAAAATAGCAAGAGATAAGTCACCAATCGGCAAAAGAAGTATCGGACGACCGCGCAAAAGATGAGGTGACAACCTTCCATAGAGGTATTAATTTGCCAATCTATCTAATTAGCCTTCTTCGGTCCATCTTTGGACATAGGCCTCCCCAATCCTTTTCCATTCTTCTCTGTCTGTCGCTACAGTCATCCACCTAGAGCCCACGTGCTTCTTGATATCATCTGCCCATCTCATGTGGCTCAACCATAAGTAAGAACAGGGAGTACGCATTGATTTATACTTTGGTCTTAAGATGCTGTTTATATCTTTAATTTTTAAGAATATAGCTTAATTTGCCAAATGCCGCCCATGCCAGTCTAACTAGTCTCTTTATCTCTGCTGTTTGGTTCTCTTTGTTAAGTTTTATAGTTTGACCAAGATATATATAATCCTCAACTTGTTCTATTTTATCTTGTCCGATTCTCATTGTGATGTCTTCATCTATATTTGTTATGGTTTTGGTCTTGCTGTAATTCATATTAAGGCCTATCTTTCCAGCTTCTACGTCCAGTTCTTCGCCAGTAATCCACCAATGAATAAGCAGAATTTCTTATAAAAAGGAAAAAAAGAAGAGGAGGTTTAAAAAAGAACTAGTGTCAATTGAAGAATGGCAGGCGTCAATCTGTCTCAACAGCAGATATCTAGCTCTGTCTCAATAGCGTATAGCTCGTCAGGCTCAATAAAGGGGTAAATTAGCTCGTGTTCGCAGAAGGATTTAGCACCTGCCCCCTGTCTAATATTAAATAATCTGGAGCGAATAAGCGGCCAAACTATTTCAACCAAGAACCGGTCCTTCTGGGAACCAAACAACTAGAATTTCTGATCCCATCATTCGGATTTGTCAGATTCCGAATGAAAATACGAAACTAGTGATGAAGAAGATGAGACCCTGCTAAACTCTGCAGAGAGTATATTTGGGAATTTTAATGCCCTAATTGCATATCAAATTACTCTCCTGAAATTTTTAAAAGTGCATTATAATAAAAAAAAATTAATTCTTACTTATCGATTGTTAAAGATGCATTAGTATCATGCGCTGAAACATAATTCGTTGTAGATCGACAAGGGATACCCAACGCTCGGCAGATAGTTACCGTGGCAGCAGAGTATACCCAACATTGTCCATATTTGACCGATGTTCCATTCGACAATAAGTATTGCTCCAAAATTGCAGTAGATCCCGTCCATGCAAATGGAGAAGTACCATCTGAGTAATCGCCATCCCATCTACCTTCTAAGAGGCCACCATCATCTACTGCATTAACCTGAAAATAATAAATTATTCAATCAACTGGGTGCTTTAATAAAAGCAGAGTCATACATTCGCCACAAGTATATAAAGAACTAGAAGAACATAGGAACAAAACTAAGATCAGCATTATATTTAAAAATAATAATAAAGTATGCATATGATGCTTTTTTCGTCAAGTCGCAGTACCAGCAAAGATGAGGACCGAACACTACTAACTGCTAAATATGACATATTAAATAAATGAAAATAATCCGCCTGTAATTAAATTACAGAGCGTTAGCCAAACAGGAGCAATAATAAACATTGCTCAGAAAAAGCGGACGAGAAACTTTAATTCAAGCGAAAAGTCCAGAAGATTACAGGTCTACGGTGAAAATCATAGAGGAGTATAATCAAAAAACACCTGTACAGTGGATTGCCCTTCGACTAGAGGAAGACATATAACCAAGAATGGTTTTATGAGGACCACCTCCATACACAGATGTTACAGAAATGTTCAGTACTCTCAAAGAAGAGTATGATATCGAATATAAATCGATAAAGAACATGATTTTCAGAAAGAACGACAAAAGAAATCTACCAATGTTTGTACTGACACTGGAGAAGGAGGATGTGCATCACTAATCTGATGCACATGAAGGTCTACATCGAGGACCTCAGAAAAGCAACTAGGCCCACTTCCAGGGGTACCACCACGCGCAGAGAGCGTGCTTTAATACACCTCGATGCATACGATGCGGAGAAAATCACTTCACAAGGAACTACCAAATGCTCCAAGAATAGAAGGCAAAATGTGCCAACTTCCAGAGGCAACACTCGGCAAACTTCAGAGGATGCTCCAGGTGTCAGAAGAAAACCACCACAAAGACAACAAACCCCGCAAAATAGACCACAACAAACATCAAGCGGACCTTCCTACACATAGGCAGCGAAAGCGCAAAATACCGACAACACCATCTTGATCTCGAAACAACAGCAAGACGGCCTAGTGAACTCAATTAAGGAACTGGTCACTAGAATTGTCCACGAGGCGATCGCAGACATAAAGCTAGCACTAAACTAGTGCAAGAAAATAGGGGATACTTGAGGATAGGCTAATGGAACCCAGGAGACATAAGGTCCAACCAGTATATACTGGACGAACTGGTCAATAGATATGAAATGGATGTCGCATCGTGGCAATACAGGAAACAAAGCTCACGTACAACATCAACATCAAGTTGCCACATATACAGAAACGATAACACAGCAAGATCAGGTGGTACAGCAATATTAGTGAAAAAAAGCATACGTCACATCAGAATTCTAATACCACAACTAAATACTATGCAAGCAACAACAATAAGAGTACAAATGAGGCAAAGAGAAGTCAGAATTACCTTCACCTACGTAACACCACAAGATCTACTGATCGAATACAATTTAAATACGTTCCTAAAAGACGAACGCTCAATCATAATCTTCTTCTTTCAGTGCCCTGTCCGATTATCGAACGTTGACGATCATATTGGCAATAATAACCTTATTCACGGCGGCTCTAAATAAATTAAAGGTGGTTTCTTGATACCACTTTCGGAGATTTCGTAGCCAAGATGTTATTCGTCGGCCTGGGCCTCTCCTTCCGTCGATCTTACCCTGTATTATGAGGTGTAGAATCAATTATAATAGGAGACCTAAATGCAAGATCCCCAAACTGGAACAACAGAGCTACGAACAGAAATGGAAGACTACTAAACACATATATAGAAAACAACGACGACCTTATTGTTGGAGAACTATATCTCCAAACCAATAATTCTACTTTGTATCAAATAATTTTATAATAGGCTCTGGACACTTTATAATAGGCTCCAGCCTGACTGCGCATCCTGAGCAAAATTTAGAAAATATCCCGGAAAATAAACTATCCATGTTTCAGCAAATTGCAAAGGTACAACAAAGTTTCTGGAAAAAGTGGTCTGTTGACTATTTAAACCGCTTACAAAACTCTCCAAAATGGTAAGGGATAACATAAAAGTCAATGACTTAGTTCTTCTGAGAGAGGACGATGTACCTCCTCTAAAATGGCCTCTAGCGCGGGTGGTTGATACAATGCCCGGTCAAGATGGCAAAGTCAGAGTGGTCAAGTTAAAGACCATCAATGGCCAATTTACAAGGACAATCACTAAACTTTCAGTTCTCCCTATGCAAGATAAAGAAGAGTAGGTTAGACCACAAGGCTCTAACGCCGGGGGGAATGTTGGAGAACTATATCTCCAAACCAATAATTCTATTTTGTATCAAATAATTTTATTTTCGCGTCGGTTACCTAAATAAATCCAGTCTACCTAGACCTTGTTTCTGAGAATGTTAATCCCCGCCCACAGCGCCTACTTGACGACAGACCGGCTTTTCAAAATGCATAAACAAAAAAATATTCCAGCGGGGCGAGGGAGGCGACCAGGTACACCGACAGTGATTTAGCGACTTTCGTAGGGCTAACATCTATATTTCAAAAGTTCGGAGAGGATTCTCCACGTTGCAGTTTACGCAATTGACCGGGAAGCCGTAATATGTGAATAAGTGTTATGGTGTTTTCGCTTTCGTTCGCAAATTGTAATATTCAAATTAAGTTCCTACGATAAGTTACACACTCAAATTTTATAAGCTCTATTTCTTGCCCTTTCTTTTTTCAATTACAGTTTCTTTCTAAACAAGTAATTGTTTTATTTCACTATATCAATTCAACAGGCCAGTAAAAGCAACTTTGAAAGTCCATTTTAGTTTCTCTACTGAGCTGTCGAAGGCTAGCGAACTAATTGGGCTTACAGCAAGAACAAAGCCGCTGAAAGAGACACTGTTGCATATAAGCCTCTCCATGGAAGGGATGTTGTAAACCGGCACCCTCCAGTTATGGTAATGGACCCTACAGACCCAACGCACTATCGAGGAAAGGGATTTCCTACACACATAGACATTGTAGTAGCAAGACTACAAACCTAGGACTACAAACAGAACTAGAAACATTAAACGAAGGCACAACGGACTACAACCCCATCCTATTAGAACTAGGAACGTGGGAAAAAGAAAGTACAATCAAAAGAGCTAAAAAAAAACAAAGTAGACGAACTTCAGGAGACTCGTGAGCACTGGAATAAACATACTTCCAGTGATAGACAACCCACGAGAAACAGAAAATAGAGGATTTAACATTTTCCAGAATTGTTAAGGCTTCTTTAATTTTTTTCTTATTTCTTCACATAACAACTAGGTCATCAGCATTTGCTACTATTTGTGTTAAGGTGTATTTGTGTTAATAATTCTTTTAATTCTGCTGACCTTAACTGTTCATTCTACTGTCATGTTGAATAGTGTGGTTGAGAAGGAAATTTAAGTGATATTGCTATGTTAGTAGTATTACTATTATTGCCATTGTACTATTTCTTTCTTCTTCGTGGATGTTTTTAATGGCATACATTTCTATTTTATCCAACGTTGGCCACAAACACCTTATAATTTTCTTTTATCAATAAAGGTTTCCATCGTATTCTCGTTTCTTCCTCTTCTTTTTCATTTTGAATTTCTTCATAGTTTGGTTTCATATTTTCCATATTCTATTTCCGGTCTCTTATTTTGTTAACTGCATTTTCCTTTTCAAAGCATGCCACATTTCTGGATTTCAGTATGTTTGTGGTTTTAAAAACATATTTCTCAAACAATGAATCCACGTGTTTTTATCTCACATTTTATTTAAATTAGAATATGCATACAAAATAATATTTAGAAGGGCAAAAGGTTAACAAAATATAAATAAACTTTCCATTCAATAATTAGCATAAATCATTTACAGCAATAAACAAATCAAAATTTTTAAACAATTTGAATATATGATGCTTGTTATGTAACAAATTTTTGATAATATGTTTTCGTTTAATTATAATTTTAAGAAGTTGGTTTTTATTTGTATATATGCGAAATCGAATAAGGAAGATAACTATGTATATACTAAAATAGATACTTTACAGAACGTGAAACGAATAAATTTATTTTGAAATTTTAAAACCAAAAAACAAAACCTAGGTAGAATATTTCGTGAAACCGCGTCCAAATAGACATTTTTAACGTTTTTTAGCCGTTTTTTAAGCGTTCTAGACCAAAACTATAATAGTCTAGGCGGGATATGTTTTGGATTGGACATTTTCCATGGGAAGTAATTTTTTTGCTGGAATCCCTTCAGGATGTGCCCAATATCGATAATCACGATATGCGCCAGTCGCAAACCCTGTGCTAAATTTTTTATTTAACATAATCTGAAAATAATTGAAAATTTCTCATTTTTTTGCTCCTATTTTCGTTTATAATTCGGAAAATATTGATTCTAGAGAAAAAATGATACAAAGTTAAAAGTTTCGTTATTTAATTTTACACAATATTTCATATACACAATAATTGAAAAAAAAAGTACAAAAAAATGAAGTTAATCGTTTAAATGTTTTCGACTATCTAAACTTGACTTACAAGCTCCATATTCCGTCTAGAAAAACTTTTTAATATGTTTAAAACGTGTGCTAATTTTTGTTAAGATCGGTCGGATAGGTTTTGCGTAATAATTTTGCAATCCAGCCTACTGGAAAAAAATCGCAAATTTTCAAATTTATAGTAGGCCCTAAATAAGGCCCTAAGATAGTTGCAAATAATTTTTTTACTTATAAAGGAAGTCTCAAACTTTCAAACGCTTTTTGTAAAATTCAAATCGGTTTACTAGGAGAGCCTAGAAAATTGTTTAAAGTTTTAAACATTTTTTAGGCTTATAAACAAATTGAATAACTTTAGCAGCTTTAAACATATCAATTCCAAAATTTATACACTTATAGGCCAATCAAGTTAGGTTTTTACTCATCACAAGTGTATAGACGGGTTTGACAGTTGAAATAAGTAGTAAGAGATATTACAAAAAGACTCTCATCTAGGGATTCATGAATTTTTTAGTGGAAATGTTTTTAAATAAACAATTAAAACGGCAATATCATTATTTTGCTCATAACTTATAAACTTGTCTATTTAGAGATTTGGCGTCCACAGACAAGTTATTGAGAAAAAAAAATACACAAAATGAGATATACTAAATTAAAATCGGTTAATAAACAAAAAAGTTATTGCATAATAACCAAGCAAAATCACTGTTTTTGATTATTGTTAATTACTCTTTTATTAATCAATAAAATTTATTTAAATGTATCTGAACTTAAAGTCCTTATCGTGTTCGAAGTGTGTGCGAAAGATAGGCTAGATCCGTCGAATAGTTTTTGCACAATTTAATTTGTTTATAAGATTTTTTGAAAAATGCACAAATTTCTAAGGCCGGTCCAGATAATTTGACTGAATGGATCTTAATAATCCGGGGCTTATTTTCTTTGTTGAGACATATATTAATATCCTATGGAAAAAAAAAGTTAAAAAAAATACGTTTATGTACACAAAATGATTTAACAATAAATAGCACTTTTTAAGCTTATAAACATTTACAATAACTCCGTACTATTTAGTTTAAATTAAATGGCAATAAAATATTCGGAAGGCTGGTTAAAAAACACAACTTAAAAAAAAGAAAAAGGTCCTACGACCATTAGGAGCCGAGTTAGTCCTTTTTTTTTTTTAAATCACTGTTACGTCAATTAACAACATTAAGGGCTGAAATTAACCAAACTTTTAGAAGAAAAGTTAAAGTTTTTAACAAAATATTAAGTAAACAAAATAATTGAAAATTGATTATACAGGAGTGTTGTAAACCAAGAGTACTTTGCGTTCCGACTCAAATGGAAGGAGTGGTGATTGCCGATTGCACTCAAGCCGCACTCTAAAAAAAGTCGAGCGCACGTCGAAAGCAGATGCTGTTAGGCCGTTTAAGTTACAACTCATTTTCCTGCGACTATACAACCGGTTTGGTGTATTGAAATATTTAGTGTTTTGTCTTATTTAATCATTGTTACAAATAATTAATGGTAAGTAAAATTATTAAACAAAACATATTACACGTATATCAACACAAAATCTATACACAAAGAACATTAAAAGACGCTTCTTTAAAAAAAAAGATACATTCGGCTTACTGGTTGCCGAGATATTGAAGGTCAAAGTTGGCATACATTTGTCGTGTAACCATAAGTGATAGAGGGCTCGTTTTTAAACAAATACCCTCGTCTTGTCAAGTACTTTTTATATGAAAAGTTTTACGTAATGCGCTGCATGGCAACATCCATAAAAAAGACAAATAAAAACCGTTTTCGCGTAAAATGTCGCTCGGAATGCATGAGAGGTGGTTGTGGGGAACATTCACTCTAAATGTGAATCGGCGAGTTCAAAATCATAGCGCGCGCTACAAACAAAATACAAACTGAGCAGGTATTACTACCTGACTAATTATTCAGAAACATTAGTTGCAAATGTAAAAAACTTTGTACAAAAACATGCAGTTGTATCAAACATGGTCTCAAATGTTCTGACGATTGTCTTCACTGCAATGGTCAGACATGTAAGAATATTGAACACAGTAAAATATTGGAAGAAATTGAACGAGATATGGATATGTAGTCGATGGATTCCTTAGATTTTCTAGAGGCACAAGATAAAGCTACAGATGAAGGAGAATAAACATTAAATTTATAGATCGAGGATAAAGATATTGAAATGGAAAATGAAGTTTTTGAGGAAGAAATAAGACCTGAAGATTCTTGTTCTTCCAAAAAAGAAACACTTTTAAAAAATTATTGAAGATTGAGTCAAAATAGAGTTTATTTATGAAAAAAAAAATTTTTTTCGTTTGCCTTTGTTTTATCAATTTAAATTATTTATTAACCAGTTAAAACCAGTTTCATCAAAATATATTCTCAAATCAAATAATGTCATTATTATGATAAAACTGCAGAAATAAATTATTTTTAATGTTAATTATTTTAAAAAGTTTGATTTTTACAAAAAAAAAATTTCGTTCGCCTTTGTTTTAACAATTCAAATTATTTATTAACAATTTATAAATACAAATTTGTTTACTAAAAGTAACAATTTACTTCAATGTATAAATTGAAAGCTCAAAAAAAATTCATGAGAAAAAAATGAAATTACTTGTTTAACATATAATTATTTATTGCAAATTTACCAATTTGCAATTAGAAATGGTATTTAAAAATATGATATTTGAAATCATTGTCGTCCGAGACATCGATTCAAAAAAAAAAAGAGCAAAATTGGTTAACACGAAGCCGAAATAATGCAATTTTTAGCGCGCGTTATGATTTTGAACTAGCCGATTTCGATTGAATGTCCCCACCACCACCTCTCATGCATTCCGATCGACATTTTACGCGAAAATGGTTTTTTATTTGTCTTTTTTATGGACGTTGCCAAGAAGCGCATTACGTAAAACTTTTCATATATAAAGTACTTGACAAGACGAGGGTATTTGTTTAAAAACGAGCCCTCTATCACTTATGGTTACACGGCAAAGGTATGCCAACTTTGACCTTCAATATCTGGGCAACCAGTGGGCCGAATGTATATTTTTTTAAAGAAGCGTCTTTTAATGTTCTTTAAGTGTATAAATTTTTTGAAATTAATATGTTTAAAGCTCGTAAAGTTATTCAATTTGTTTATAAGCCTAAAAAATGTTTAAAACTTTAAAAAAATTTCTAGGCTCTCCTAGTAAACCGATTTGAATTTTACAAAAAGCGTTTGAAAGTTTGAGTCTTCTTTTATATGTAAAAAAATTGTTTGCAACTATCTTAGGGCCTAATTTAGGGCCTACTATAAATTTGAAAATTTGCGATTTTTCCAGTAGGCTGGATTGCAAAATTATTATGCAAAACCTATCCGACCGATCTTAACAAAATTTAGCACACGTTTTAAACATATTAAAAAGTTTTTCTAGGTGGAATATGGAGCTTGTAAGTGAAGTTTAAAAAATCAAAAACATTTAAACGAATAACTTCATTTTTTTGTAATTTTTTTCCAATTATTGCTATTTTTTTCAACAATAAACAATAAATTTTCAATTTTTAGTTAACGAACTATTGTCTAACATTGAATAATGAAACTTTTAACCTATTATATTTTTTTCTCTGCGATCAATATTTTCCGAATTATAAACAAAAACAAGAGCAAAAAAATGAGAAATTTTCAATTGTTTTCAGATTTTGTTAAATAAAAAATTTAGCGCAGGGTTTGCGACTGGCGCATATCGTGATTATCGATATTGGGCACATCCTGAAGGGATTCCAAAAAAATAGCTTCCTATGGAAAATGTCCATTATGGTCTGAATTTCTACAGATCCCGCCTAGTCTATAAGTAAACTTTAAATTAAATGTATAGATCAAAATTTTGCTACCATTAGAGAGCCATAGACAAACAGAGAGAACAAACATTGTAGTTAAAACTGACCAATAAATCACATATTTAAATGGCAGACCGATTTATATACATTAACAATTACATCCATACATTTCTAGATATTTTAGCAACTTGTTCTAGACTTGTGCAATATATGGAAAAATTTTGATTAAACAGGTTAAAAATTTTTAAATTTACCTTAACTGCTGAAAGAAAATCAAAACTGTTTAAAAACTGACATCATATAGTATGTATTACATCAATATTCGGCTTTTCCTAAATTTTTTTATATCAAATTTAAATTACACAGCTTCATGGTCAGTCACTATTCATTTTAAATTCTATTGTCACTGAAAATTACTCTATTAGAAAATATAATTGAATTTTAACTTACTATTGCCGAAATTGCCCTAGAAACCATAATTGGATTTCCTCGTTGAGCAGTAACTAGCGCTGACTTTTCCAAAAGAAATATGGCGGCGGGTAAAGAAATTTCGTCAAATTGTCCAAATATCCAATGCTTTCCTGTAGGTTTTTTGAAAGTACCACACCAAATTTTGCCGTTATCATTAAGCACGTACTCCTTTCTTTCCTCTTCATTTTCCATGAATACTCCGTCTTCGGGACACCAGGGGTTAAATATGATGTAAATGTCATCTTCGAACTATAAAAAAAACAAGTTTGTTTAGATTTTGTATATATAACATATACATTTAATTATAAAATAAGGTTTAATCATCCACATTTTAAGATTTCAAAATTTTTATTTTATTTTGAATTCGGAAGACGTTTGTTCAAACATACAAACCGGTCGTATTTCGTCAATTGACTTATTGGAAATATAATACTAAATTACATTCTCCCGCTTTTCGAAAAAAAGAAAGTTTATTCTGTCCTTGTTCTAAATTGTAAAAATGTAGCTTGAATTTACTCGTGTATATTTTTTTTAAACCCTTTTCTCTATTCGGATTACCGAATATAGGCCTCTTCTAACTCTCGCCATTCATCCCTGTTGTTTGTGAGACGTTTCCACATTGGTACTGCAGTTTTTTTAATATTGTCGCTCTATCGCATTTGCGGTCTTCCCGTGGTCTTTGGCTTCATATGACCGCCAATTCCCAATTTCTTTATTCCATTTCTGATCTTCTCATCTTAATTACTATTTATAACTGGGAATAAGCCACAATTAAAGATAAAAAATACGTTTATTGACGTTTCAATTTCCAATTCGGAAATCCTATTCGAAAATAGATTTCCGAATTGGAAATTGAAACGTCAATAAACGTATTTTTTATCTTTAATTGTGGCTTATTCCCAGTTATAAATAGTAATTAATTTACAATGCCACAAGAAAATAGCTTCTTCTCATCTTGAAGTGAATCGATGTACCTAAATGGTATATCATTTGCACATGTCATAATGTGCAAATGTTTGTATTACAAAGGTCGCAATTAAACATAACTATAAATTTTCTTCCTTATATATATATATTATATATATATATATATATATATATATATAAAAATGATTTGAATTGTTAGGGTGCCTGTCCGTTCCGAACGTTGTAGATCATTCTGGCAATGATGACTTTCTTGGTTGCTAAAAGGAATAGCTGTGTTGACATCTTTCTATGCCATGCTCTCAGGTTAGCAAGCCAGGATATTCTTTTTCATCCTAGGGCCCTTTTTTATATTGCAAAATGCATTTTACTAGCTCGTATCTGTCTTCATTTCTCATTCTATGTCCCAAGAACTGCAGCTAAGAGCCCTTCACGATGTTGACCAAATCCGCGGTTGTATTCATCCTTCGCATTACTTCTTCATTGGTGACGTTGTCTGTCCATGAAATCTTTAGAAACCTCACATGTGTCTTAGGAATGCCTAAGGATTGCTATATGATTGGGCATTTATTATGCCTGATCATATTAACAAATCAAAAAAATTAATTACTGTATTGTGGATTCCGCGACATATCGAATTGAAGCGAAACGGCGCAGCTCTAAGTAGGCTGCTTAGGTCTGCGCCCTAAGGAACGGAGGAACACGTTATCTGGAAGGCCATGCCGTATAATAAACTTCCTGGAAGAAATAGAACTACTTTATTGAGAGACAAATAAAAAAGATAAACAGACGGATACAATAGATCTCGTAGATTGTAGAGTTTCATTTCTAAAAGCGTAATCTAAGCATTAGACGCGGTAGAAAAATGAAGTAGCCACAAAAATATTCCTTTACAAATCTTTTTAGATCAAATATTATGTTGATATGTAAACAATTTTAAATATTAAGAAAATATTTTTGTGTAGGTGGAACATTAACATAATTTACCATTTTTTTTTTTAAATATATCGTATAAAATTATATTAATGAATAATACATTTTTATTAAATGAGATTTATAGCTTAATACATTTTGAAGAAAATCGTAAAGTTACCTTGTTTTCATCAAGGTTTTTATTGAAACAATATTTATTTATAAAAATATATATTAGACATTTTCTTTGAGATATTTAATAAATTTGTAGGAACTAACAAAAGAAATTTTAATTAAATTTAGGTAATATAAAACTATCAATAAAGTGGAGATGTCCAGTTATACATATACTTATCAGCCCCGATCTAGAACGATTTCTTCCTGAAGTTTTTGCTGAAAATATAGTAGATATTTTTAAAGGCGATGGTGAATTGTAAGTGGAGTTGTTTTTCTGATTCAGACTTATCGCTAGCTATACCTACACCTTGACAGTTTATTTCCAAAATAAATTCAACAAATTAAGATTCCGCAACCATCCTTTGGATTGCGACTTCAATTTGATAAGCCTACTTGAACAGATCCCTTGTATTTAGAAAATTGTAATTCTCGTGATCATAGTTTACTTTATTAGACTAGAAAACATTCGGGAGACACATTCCACAGTAGAACAAACGCACAATATAATTAAACAAGTATCGAAGTAAGATTATGGTAACTGAGAAGTCATTACAATGTGTCATTAACTGCAGAAGTTATAGAGGCGCAAACATAGACTCAGATTATTGCCTACTGATTTCAACATTGAGAGCTAGAATTTCAAATATTAGCAAAGAATATAAAATGTATAGAAAGAAATAAGATGTGCAGATTCAGAAAGATGCAACAATTGCAGAACGGTACTTGGAAAACATCAGCAACAGGCTAAGAAATAAAAATGTAACACTAACAGAAACTTTTAACTGTAAAAATCTTTGGTTTGACGATGAAAGCAAGAATTCAACAACAGAGAAAAAGGAAGCCTGCAGAAAAATGCTTACTCGATCAATTGAAACAACTGTAGAGAATTACCAGACTAAGAGAAGGGAAGAAAAGAAGATATACAAAATAAAAAAATGAAACGACTTAAATATATAGAAACTCTTAGAGATAGAAAGAATTCAGAGCATTCTATAAGATAGTTAATATCAACAGAAAAGAATCCAAGATAACTACAAACCAATGTAGATGTCCAAATGGGGATCTATTAACAAAAAGGAAATATGTATTGAATCAATGGGTGGAATACTTTAAGCGAATGCTTAATATAGATGAAGAAGAAGAAAACCTGGAAGACGAAAGAGATACGGTAAGTGGATCAGACAGAGGAAAGATCAGAAAACAATCACCCGGAATGGATGATCTAAACTATATAAAGGATGTGACCACGCTACAATAATAGCAATCTAGTAGCATGAACACAGACATCCATTCCCTATTATTGGAATATTTGAATACTTCGCAATATATACAACAAAGGAAATACTTTGAATGCTATAACCCGATAACTATTTCCGATTCGAAAGTCGATACATAATATCAAAATTAAATTTTATAATACAAGGATGATTCCTAACAAGGTATTTGAATATTGTTCTGAAGCTATTTTCTTGTGGCATTGTAAATTAATTACTATTTATAACTGGGAATAAGCCACAATTAAAGATAAAAAATACGTTTATTGACGTTTCAATTTCCAATTCGGAAATCGTTCTCAAAATACAAACAGTAAATTAAACAAATTTTGTTTTTTGTTACATAGTGAAAAAATTCTTCTAATAATTTAATTTTATCTGACTCATTTATATTGACAATTCAGACATACATTATGCATTTTAAAGTAGAGGACTTTAAAATGATATTGCCAATATTGTTGAGTTGCGCTCCTGGGACGACTTTACTATAAGATAGTTCATTCGATTACATGAAATCAACTTTAACTTGAGAATATCCGTCAGAAAAAATCATAGCATATAATTCGTCTTTAAAAAGACAAACACATGACATGATGACAGTAAAATTCTCCCGTTAGTGATTCCATAGTAAATTATGAGGGAAAAAACCAGGAAAAAAACCTCATAATACTATCCCGACATTGTAAGTATTTGTTCGTGAATTTAGTTTACCTTCAACAAACATTAAAATTCTGATTTTATATGTTACGTTATTTAAAAAACATAAATGATGTATCCTCTATATGTTACTGACTTACTAATACTGGTATTTTCTTATTAATAACTTCCTCTTTCAATATTGGTAACCAGATCCTACTACATTCTGCCGAGGAATTTGCGACACAATTGGCCTCATTTAGCATAATTAGAGCCGCTTCTTTGATTTTTCTTTTTTTACCATCCGTTTCTTTTAGGACTATATTTGAATTATTCCATTGAACCCTATGTTCATTATCCCACGCGTGTTTACATATTTGAGATCTATCAAATTCTCTATTTATATCTAGTCATCATGTCATGTGTTTGTCTTTTTAAAGACGAATTATATGCTATGATTTTTTCTGACGGATATTCTCAAGTTAAAGTTGATTTCATGTAATCGAATGAACTATCTTATAGTAAAGTCGTCCAGGAGCGCAACTCAACAATATTGGCAATATCATTTTAAAGTCCTCTACTTTAAAATGCATAATGTATGTCTGAATTGTCAATATAAATGAGTCAGATAAAATTAAATTATTAGAAGAATTTTTTCACTATGTAACAAAAAACAAAATTTGTTTAATTTACTGTTTGTATTTTGAGAACGATTTCCGAATTGGAAATTGAAACGTCAATAAACGTATTTTTTATCTTTAATTGTGGCTTATTCCCAGTTATAAATAGTAATTAAGGTATTTGAAAAAAAAAGAGATGGCACAATGAAACAATTTCAAAACAAACCCAAAGAACTTACCTTGAAATCTTTTCGTACTCCTTTTTGTCCAACTATAGTAGTAATAATATTGCAGCTCCAAATTCCAACTTGAACTTGTGGTGGAATTCTAACATTTACAATCACAGAACTTCCTTTGTTTTCTTTTAGCATGACACCCCACACGTGGGGATCCTTAGGAAAGTGATTTAAACTTAGGATTGAGTGGTCGAACTGCTCTTGTGCCCAATATTACTGTAGGTTTTTCTCCTGTAAAATTTTAAAAAACATAATTATGATCATGTAAGAACATAAATAGAAATTCACAATCATCTACTAGACGATCGTAAAAAAATTAAAAGAAACGTATAGAAAAATGTTTAATGGAACAAAGAAGACGAATGGTAAAAGGAGGAAAACAGAATTCAGGAGAGACGCCGAAATAAACAACACTATCCAAAACTAATCGAGCAAGAAAGGATAAAAGGACAAGAAGATGACATAAAACAGTAGAAATGTAAAATGTTTGTGAGTTTTGGCCTGCTTAACAATGTTCTTCCATTCTGCTCTGTCAGATACTTTCCTTCGCCACTGTCTTATGCTCGTGGTTTTAAGATCCCTCTTTACATCATCTATCCATTTTTTACAAGGCCTTCCTCTTGTTCTGTTTCCTTGGGGCTTTTATCTCTAGACTACTTTTACAACTTGATTAACTGACATTATTTCTAGGTGGCCAAGCCAGTTTAGTCTTTGTGATTTACAAATCTAACAATAGCTGCGCTCTGCATTAGTTCATCCAGCTCGTAGTTCATTTTAATTCCCCACGAACCATCGCTGCATTGGGTTGGTTTAAGTATCTTTCTTAGCATTTTGCTCTCAAATATTCCCAGTTTATTTTCATCAGTGGTTGAGAGGGTCCACGTTTCACATCCATATGTGACCACTGGTCTACTTACTGTTTTGTAGAATCTAAGCTTAGATTCACAATTCAGTAACTTACTTTTCATTAAGTCTTTGTATGCATAAAAGCACTTGTTACCGCTAAGAATCCGTGCTTGTATTTCTTGACTGATGTTGTTGTTGTCATTTATTATTGAGCCTAGGTAGGGAAAAGTGGAGACATATTTGTAGGTATGGTTGTCTACCTTCAGATTCTTATGTTAATTCGATTTTGTGCACTCCATATATTTTGTTTTGCTTTCATTTATATATCAACCAAACGTAGCAGCTTCTCGTTTCAGTTCTATAACTTTTTCGCTTAATACCCTTTTGTGGCGGCTTATTAAAGCAACATCATCCGCATATGCGCATATTTGCGCATATGCGGATGAAAACTAAATTAGACAGAATAGAAATAATAATGATCAATGACTAAAACGACGAGAAAATAACTGAGAAAGGTTCTTTTACATAAATTGATAATTTTTGCCGAAGGCCCGTATCTTTTGACAATAACTTAATCCCAAGTATTGTCTGCTTCTCATTTCCAATTGTTGGTACCGGTAACTCAAAACTTTCGGAATTTTTACTTCCTCAGAATTACCTACAATCTGTCCGATGATTTTAAGTGGGGGATAAACCTTCTTCTTCTTTTTTCTTGGATAGTTGGTGAAATTTTAAGTGGAACTAACTTACTTCTCGGTGGGCTCTCGTTGAGCACAGGTCGATTATCTCATGAGACTTCTCGGTGGCCTCTCGTTGAGTGTGGTCGCTTGCCTGAAATTATCGTCTCTGTGAATTATTTTCTAAGTGTGTATACACTCTATATTTCAGTTTTCTTGTCTTAGAATATATTAAGTTTTATATAGTTCTACACTACCTTTAATGGTACCTAATTAAATTCAGTGTTGAATACCAGTACAGTATATTAAATTCAGTGAATTAAGATGCCGTCATCAGGAATTATATAAGTTACCATAATCTTTATCTGCAAATTATCTGGGCGAGTAATATGGTATGGTATTATACCACCTGCCATTATCTGGACGTATCACACATCATTCATCCATATCTTCATCTGTAGATTGCCGATTTTTATATTTAATTTAAAGAACAATTCAAGAACTTTCCATAAATAATAACTATGAACATCTTAGTTTAGCATTAATTAATAGTGCGAGATAGTAACCCACCTAGCCAAGTGCGGTTTGGCTAGTTAATGTTTTCAACTCAGTAACCTGTTTGTTTTTTTTTGTAAAATTTAGAGTTAAGAAATTTTTGCTATCTTTTGTATTTGCTATAATCTTTGCTCATTATCTTTCCTATAATATCTCGAGATTTGCCAAACTATATTTGTATATGATTGCCTTATGTATCTTGGTAAAGGTATTTTTTTATTATATTATTGCTTAATTTTATACATATATAACACCATTTCATAGTTGTGTATTTTTATTACTTGTGTTGCATTTAGCAGCATCATAATTTTGTGTTTAATATATTGTTAATGTTTTATGCATGTATTTTATTTGTCGGCTCCTAACAAGTTCCCTGATAAAATAGTAGCTCTAAATATTTGCTAAGTATATTAATTTATTACTATACCTTTGACCAGTAGAAAGATCAGGCTGATTAAGTTTCGTAGGTAAATAAGTGTAATACCTAATAAATTTATTATTTGTTTATATATTGTGTTGACCAAATTTATTTGATAATTAACTGTTGGTATCTTTCCTTGGGATTGATCTCTGATCTCTGAAGGATATCTTTCCTTATCTCTCTAAACTACCAACCAAAAGAACAAGTAGCACTTTGTTTAACACCTTATCTAAGTAAATAGATACCTTTGTGCAAATGACAAAAAAAAGATCCCAAATGGTAGATCTAGGTAAAATATATTATGTATTTAACTAAAACTAACTAAACTTACCAAACCCGAAACTGATTCTTATTGTATCATGCTCGGGATCGAAGGCTCTATTTAAATTTATTCCCAGCTGAAAAACTGCTCCTCTTCGTAAGACTGGCGTAGGTGCTTCAGCGTTAACCAGCTCATACTCGTCTGTGTGATGTTTTACAGCATTTTCCTTATGAAAAAAATCCACTCCTGTTACGGTTGCTGGCTCCATTTTGCTGCAAAAATATGTGTACTTTGATATAGGTTATTCCACGAATATACGACTGTTTTGGATTCCACGAGGAAACTAAGTTCCTGTAGCTGGCTGTATACCATATATCACAAAAAAATTTTGTTAAAATTCTTTATAAAAGGTATATAAAAATGCCTCAAACGGGCTATCACAAACACATTGCAAAACGTTTTCGGATTAAACAATCCATCATCAGTGCAAACGGTTGTACATGCTAGTAGCCACCAAAATATATGGGTAAAACCCTTTAAATGTTATAAATTTGAAATTGTTTTACATTATTTATAACATTTAAAGGGTTTTTACCCATATATTTTGGTGGCTACTAGCATGTACAACCGTTTGCACTGATGATGGATTGTTTAATCCGAAAACGTTTTGCAATGTGTTTGTGATAGCCCGTTTGAGGCATTTTTATATACCTTTTATAAAGGATTTTAACAAAATTTTTTTGTTTTGGATTATTGCTACAACGAATATTTTACTGTGCAAGTAGAAGTATGAAAGTAAATTGGTCTAATTATTATTCCATAAAAAAAGGATCTTCTGTTACTATGACATATAAACTAAAATTATTTCAGTTAATAGATATTCAGATAGATATTCATTTATTGTGAAAATTAATCCGAAAATAATAAAAAAATTTACGTAAACGCTCCTACAAATAAATACAATGACTCCTATGAAGCTAAAATGTGTTGATCAGCCATTTGGGTTGGATTTCGGTGAAATGTAAACACCAAAGAGGCGTGCCGAGTTTCTTTGATATTACACTATTTTATTACTTTATTAGGTACTACAACGGTAATAAAAAGAAATATACTATTTTTAATATAAATGAAAAGAAATTGGCAAAACGATGGTTCAGAAACCAGAAAAGGAATCTAATATTTCACTTTGTTAGTTTTAAATATTTGTTTGCTATAGTATAGTGGAATGTACTCTTAAAAGTTCCGAAAGTAACGGGTATAACATACCGGCTATTGATAGTTAAAGTACCGAGTCGTTACAGATATTAAAAAGTAACGAAAATTTACATACAGTTTCATATATCACCGACTGATCTTAGTTTTAAAAACTGTCCGTATAAAGGTGTCCGGTGAAGAGACGTGTCCGTTAAGAGAAAGTTTAGTGTAGTGTATTTGTTTGTAGTGTTGATTAGGAGAATAAGAGAAAGTAAGTTTTTTTGTTTTTTAATACCAATTGAATATTCGACTAAATAAATTACACTATTTAATCACTTAAGTATTGTTACACTTCGTTTAAATCACTTAATTCAAAAACCAACGTGTTTGCAATACTAAAGTCAATGATAGTAATTATATACTTCAAAATCTGAATTACAACTATTCTATAAACTATCAATTCTATATTTAGATCATGACTTCATATTTAAATCTAAGGTATATATCTGTCATAACAGTACTTTAAAAATGGGGAGAATTTACCATTGTACAATTCAGTATACAAAAACAGGCACAGTTTCCGAGCTAAAAGCCAAGGAGTTGAAGAAGTTTCTGGAAAACCATTTCGGGAAAATTGGAGGCCTTTAGACACTCTTGAATATTACAAAAGGATCGTAGAAAGTGATCAATTGGCAGCTGAAGACAACCAAAACGATGGCGACATTTACCAGCACCTCACTGAAGAAGACGACTTAGTAATCTCACCAGTCGATTTTGTTACATCTCAATAAACAAAATGAAAAATATAAAAGTTGCACTTTTATTTTTGATAGATTTTTTTTATAAATTAATAATTTAATATAATAATTTAATATTGTAAATAGCTCAAACTTATACAATAAACTTTGATAGTATACAAGGCAAGTATCGAACACAGTGATTAATTAAATCTTGCCCAAGTACTTTCGATCAATAGATCATCTTCAGGGGCATTTCGTCAGTTGTGGCCTATCCGACATGAGTAGAATGTCATAAATGTAAATTTTGACATAACAATACAATACACAAAGACAAACAAACACTTTAAAATTTTTTAAAAAAAAATTTATTTAGTTCGATTTACTTAGTCCGATATGAGGCAAATCCGGGTCGCCTCTAACTTCTTATAAAATTTTGTTTAGGTTTAGTATTGTTTTTTCAAAAAAAAAATCATGAATTTTCCTTCGAATACCATTTTTGGCAAATTCATCAATTTCAATAGGCTTTTTAAGAGTTCGTTTGTGTTTAAGTTAGCTATACCGTATTTTTTCTTTCTGATAGGAACCTATATATAGTTTACTCCCCTACGCCAGTCATGTTGGCACAACTTTCGACTATGTTGCGAACAGTGTTTGTGGCATTCTGGAAAACCAGAGCATCGTGAACATTCAGTACAATAGTCTTCTCTCTTGGTGAATAGACAGACTTACTGACTGTACGCAACAGTAGCGGTGTAAAACTTGATGATGTTGATGATGAAGCCATCAAAAAACAATCCAACAAAACGAGCACGAGCGAAAGGTACGTATATGTTCGTAGGTATATAGAATAAAAAATTACTTATACACTGTATATAATTCGCAAAAAAAATATTCGAGACGCAAATTACTGCCGTAGACGCGAAAACACCGACGAGCCGTAAATTAATGCGATCAAAAACGTAATAAACAAAAAAATTGTTTTCGTTCGTAATAAAATCACTCTTTCAAGTTAAGTTTTGAATATAAACTGAACAGACAAGGCACGTGGCCAAAGCCGGCATCTTTATACCCATTATATTATTAAAACATCTGGGCAATTCCATCCTAATTATCTTGCAACGAATAGTACCTTCGGATATGAATTCCAGGTTTTTTAGTAAAGTGATTAAACGCAAAGATTAGTATTGAAATATCCAAATATCCAAATATAAATATCATTTACAAAATTGTTAATGGTTAAATTCTTATTTTTATCAATATAATATAATAACCTAGTTATAAGTTTTTCCTTCTTTCTGGACAATTTGTAAAAAGTAACTTACCTGGTTTTGAAACTAGACAGCTCATAAATATGTTTATAGACATATTTTATGTACAAATTTTCAATAATATGTTTAATATTAAAAAAGTCTGTATTTGGGACACAAAAGGATCAACTATGAAAAAATCTAAGTGTTTCCTCGTATAAAAATTAAAGTATTTATGAAGGATTATATCCAACACTGTATTATCTCTATAAGCGTATTAATATACATACTTGGATACTTTGTATTCTTCTTTTAGAAGCCAATAAAAACTATTTATTGATATGTAAATTAAGGCATTTAAATTACAATAGGTACTACCAAATTAGGAATAACAAATATGTTTTAAAAATAATTTTAAAACATATAAATTAAAAATTACGTGATGATTATATAATACTTAGGAAACGTGAAATGGATTTCGATATTTTCAATAAAAATTTGGGATTGTTTTGTCTTTGTCGTCGGATTTTTTTTACTGTTTGGTTCATGTTAAGTCATGACCTTACTCGTTGTCGGTAAATTGGCATGAGTGAAATTAAGGAACCGTGAGAGGCTGAGATGGGAAGTGGAAAACCATTCACTCACTGTTATACCTAGTGGAAAATAACCTATTCTTAAGTTAACATTGAGTAATGCTTTGCAATATTGCTCTTATACTGTTCAGTTATTTTTTTTTTTAGTTATAAAAAATAATCTAGATGCTTTTTTTGGAACAGCTTTTCTAGTAGACTTTCGATCCCCTCGTTTTCATATTCATATATTTCATATATTAAGATTGACATACTTATAGATTTTCTTATTGGTACTCTAAGATTCAAGTCTTTTGTTTTACCATTTGCCATTAAAACTTTTTAGAGTGACAATTGGACAACGAGAATAATATTTACAATATAAAATCAAATAACGCCCATGTTTGTTTAGTAGGAAAAATTGTGTGTGTCCTGTGCTGCGGAAAAACAAATTGTATTTAAAATATATCTTCCAAGAAGAAAATAATCCTATTTATGTGATTATATAATTTGTTAGATAATATTCATAAAATTTAAAAATGCGTATTTAAATTTTTATTATTCAAGAGATGTAAACATCTAATTTATAGTTGTGCTACTGTCATCAACTAACTACTGTAGAATTTTCTTAGTAACCTTGGAAATAAATATATTAGGTGCTATATCAGTAAAACCTAACAGGTTTGTTTGTTAACATATTAGCTGCTTTAATGATTTTGACTAAATCCTCATATGCGCAGGGTTTGAAAAGGCTTAGTATCGGATATTTTAGAAATTTAGATACCTAGAAAAGTTATTAACAATAGATCAAAAAACATTACAAAATCAAAACAGTAAAAGAATAACACAGTTTTAGAAAAGGTAGGTCTACCAACCTAGAGAACAATATTTTGATAATATATTATAAAAAAACGAAGAATCTAATTTAGAAGGGGACAAAAAAGGAGCCTCCGGAAACGTTGGTCTAACCAAGAGTTAACTCTTTCATCACCAAAAAATTAAAAATTCAAAACAATCAACAATGCGACCAACAATCGAAATCAAAAAGCTGTTTTCAGAGACAACTTTGACAATATTAGATTGAAACTCTAAATATCGAGCAAATAACGAAGAACAAGCAGGCAGTTCTTGTTGAAGTCAGCGAAATAAGAAATTAAAGATTTTAAATCTCTATGAAACATATAGAGATGAAAGTACATGTAGGTCAAAGATAGATGAAATGCATTTAATCGTACAAGCAACCCAAAGTACGTTGATACAATTCTTGCAAGACCGAATCTGACGGTTCTATCGTCAGAAGGAACTACAGACAATGTTATTAAAGTGCTAACTGTCTAAACTGGTAAGATTTTAATAAAATCAGTATACAAACTACCAGAAGAAACATTTAGCTTCTCGCTGAAGGATAATTTCGAAAATCAGAAAACACAGTTCATTATGGGGGATTTCAATAGCCACAACACCTCTTTAGGGTATAGTGAGACGGACAATTATAGACGATTAGTAGTGGAGTAAGCAGAACCGATTAAATTAGCAATATTGCATGACCCAAAACTGCCTGCTCCTTTAAAATATGGAATCGAGGTTATTATCCATACAATTCCTTTATAAGAAGTAACATCCAAAACTACTGCATTAAAAGGGCCTATAAACCAATCCCAAATACCCAACATACACATATAGGAATACATATTTACGCAGCCATAACAACAATAAAAATTTAAACTCGCAGAAAATTTAATTTTAAAAAGGCCAAATGGATAAACTTCGTAAAGAACATAAACATGGCCATCAATATTATAAGCCCCATAAAACTATGACATGTTTGTGGAGATAATCAAGACCCGAAATACGAAAAAATATAAAATTAAAATCCATTTAACGAAAAACCAATTGAATGTGGAACAGCGCCAATGAAAGTACTACAAAAATGACACACAGTAGAATGATGGCATGAAAAAAGCTCAGTTGCGATCCCACTGTGACTAGACAACCCTATAAAGTAAGGCCAGACCACATAGCTCACCAGCTCCTATTAAACGGAAAGCTTAAGACCTCAGAAATCAGACCACCGAAATTGGGTAGACCCAATTCGAAAAACAATGGCCTTGAAACACCTTTTACAATTAAAGAACTAAACGAAGCCATCCACTCAATAAAAAATGGCTAGGCATCGGGAGTGGACGATATCTGTGTGAAAAAAATAAAAAACTTGGCTCCAGTCTTTAAAAATTGGATCTTAGATATATTTAAGAACTGCCGGCACGACACAACTACCGAAACTATGGGAGAAATCTAAAATAATAGCGTTTTTAAAGCCGGAAAATGAACCAAAGTCTCCCAAACATTGCCGACTTTATGCCATCTCTTTAAGGTAGGTATAGGAAAGACTTGTCCTAAATCGCATAGGAATCATAGTCGACGAGAACCTCATACCAAATGAAGCAGTTTTCAGACCAAGTAAATCATGTACCAGCCAAATTCTTAATCGCATACAGTATTTAGAAGTTTGCTAAGAAAATTAACATATTTGTTTAGTATTTATAGAACCCAATATCAAGAAGGATACAGTATCCCTCTTGATATTGACTCCAAAATAGGTGCCGAAACGTCGAGTATTAAATTCTCATTTTATCGTCGAGTATTAAATTAAATTTTTATTTACCTGGCCGCGGAAATTAAATCGCGCATTAAAATGCTCTTGTAAATTGTTTGCCAAGAACTGCAAATAATTACCACCATTTAAATGGTTGGGAAGAGATACTGTAAATACTGGGAAAAATACTGAAAGCCTATAAGATTGTTATCCACAATTCGTGCTTAAACATTAACTTTAAAAGTCCTTTAGTGATGAGTCGTTTTTTTTTCGTCTGACCAAATGTGCTCGTTATGATGGTTTGTTATTCCATTTCTACTGAAGGTAGCCTCGTCGGTAACCAAAATATTTCTAATAAAATTAACATTTCGAGTGTTTTCCATTAACAACCAATCGCAAAATCCAATCCTTTTAGGATAATCTTCAACCAATAACTCTTGAACCGTTGTTAAGTGATAGGGTTTAAGCAGCTGATCCTTCAAACGCCTCAAAACCCTTACGTGAGGAACATTTATTTAGTTGAGCAGCTCGTACTTGTTCTAGGAATCTTCTTCAATGATTTCTAAAATGTCTTCATCAGTTGCATCCATTATTGGACGACCACTATTGCCAGCAACTTACAGTTGGAATGTACCCGTTTCCAGTAAACGACGATCAATGGTGAGAAATAATCGTATATCGGGTGTATTTCAATTGGGGTATTTTACTGCATAACGCCTTGCGGCTGCTGCACTATTTCCTTGACATTCACCTACGATATTCCCGATAGTTTATTGAAATTATAATTTAATCTGATCCAACTTACCCAAAGTTAAATGCATATCTGCCATTTCCTGAAATGTGTGGCCTATTGTTATTGTAATATTAAAATTTTTAATATTAATCTTATTCACACAATAAATGAGTCCGCTAGATGCAAAACTCTGTATTTGCAAAAATTGTAAAAATTGAGTTTTAGCTGACAGTTATTTGTCACATGTTATAGCTATTTGCTGATGTAGAAATTCAGCCGCAAAGTAAGGTATTTACTAAGAAAAAGGCATTAGAAATCTTGAGTCAGACGCAAAACTCTGTATTTGTCAGCCTATGCCAGTTGCATAACTGTGTAATTGCAATTTTCCCAACCGCTTACATTGTTTGAGTCACATGACACGTCTCATGTGCACATGTCAATTATTCCATCATTCGCCATTACGGGTTTCACTGTTTGTTATTTGAGTACTAAAAACATCAAGTTTGTTGCAAATAATTAACATTATGGATCTTCATGTGCATATTAGACCTTGTGAAAAAGGAAAAGGGAGAAAACAAGTTGTATAAACAGAAAAATGGAAACTAAATGTAATGAAACTTAAGAGGTAAGAGGTGTCTACAATTAACTAGATAGGTTTGGGACTTATTGTCAATATTGACGTTCTGAAAGAATAGAGCGTGTTGTAAGAACGTTTGTTATCCGGGGTGAAATGCCAAAAGAGAGAAGAGGGGAGATACAACAAAAGGTAGATTTGATCCAATAAAATTATCTATCCAAACATTTATGGGGCATTTGAACGGTTCAGAGTCATTATAATAGAGGACGATCGACTAGATTGTATTTATTATGTGATCTGAATTTTACAAAGCTTTACAGAATGTATTGTCAACGTTATCCACATCATTCCGTAAAGTTATCATATTTCCGAACATACGTTAATGAACACTACAACATATCATTCGGCACTCCCTTAGTAGATGTTTGTTCTGCGTGTCTCAGAGCGAAGGAAATTTTGAGAAAAGAAAATTCAGAAGAAGAAAAGTTAAAGGTTATAACAAAGCAGAGAGTTCGTACGTTAAGAGCTAAAGCCTTTTATTCTTTGTTAAAAAATGAATCAAATCATAGCATACAAATATTTTCTTTTGATTGTCAAAAAAATCTTTCTTTGCCAAAGCTTCCCGACCAGGCGGCTTATTTCTCACAGCAAATAAATTTTTATAATTTCACCATCGTGGCTGGAAATTCGAAATCCCATCTTTCTGCTGCAAATGTGACGTCATATGTGTGGCTGGAGTTTGAACATCCAAAAGATTCAAATGCTGTTGCCTCTGCTGTACATGATACTCTCATAAAATTCAACTTTAAAAATCAAATCAAAAAAGTTCACCTATTTGCAGATGGATGTGGTGGGACAGAACAAAAATAGCACGATGATGTCTATGATAATCTACTGGTTGGTTTATGAAGCACCTGGTCACATCAAGGAAGCGGAGTTTACGTTTCCTGTTGTTGGTCATTCCTTTTTGCCACCAGATAGGATTTTAGGTATGATAGAAAGGGAGATAAAAAAGAAGAACGTTGTAATAAACAGAAAAGAATATGAAGACATAATTGGAAAACACTCAAAGGTGCTGAGACTTGGTAAAGACTGGCAGATATCAGACTGGAGAAAGACGAGTGACGTTGTTAAAAAACCTTCTCAGTGGCATTTTAAATGTAATGCAACGAAACGATTTATATTTTCTAAGGACAAAGATTATATGGCTACGGTAAGGGGGGAAATATTTTATCGTTCTGACATAGGGTTCAGCAAGTCTATAATACGAAAAGGGAAAAATATTTCTTTATTGAAACCAAAGTTACAACAGATTGGATGTTCATTGAAAGGAGATAAATCGTCCATAGGTACTCTCCTTAGAAACCATTTTGGTGAAAATTGGAGAGACCAGCTGGATCTCAAATTTTATAAAATTATAGATACTGGCGTACAAGCAAATAATAACGAGAGTGCTGCAGAAAATGATCATATTGATGATGAGGACCCAGAGGAACTTAGAGTTTAGGAATTAATATAAATATATACATATTATAATTTGTAATACCTTTTGTACTTTGGATAAAAATAAACTTTACTAAAAATTTACTTCCACATGCTTTCTTCCTTCTTCCTAACACACTAGGTTTAGAAAACAGACTAATATAACAACCACTAATATCGTTAATGGTTGACTATTATCATGTATTTGCATAAATCTGTATTTACATAGTTCACTTGCAAAACTCGGTATTTTCAAATTTTTCTTCCTTTTCTAGCAAACCCAATAACTTTTCTAAGAAAAAAATCATTATATTTTACCTAATAAAGCATTTATCTATCACAAAAAGTGCCATTTATTATGTCTAAGGTTTTTTGCAAAATTTATCAGTTTTGTGCAAATAACTCAGTTTGACTTATACACTAAATACAAAGTTTTGCATCTAGCGGACTCAAATGATAGCTTCAAATTATTGACTATTATTGATAGAACTGTTTGTAATTATTGTATCCGTAGAAACTAATTGTAATTCTATGGAAACAACTAGGAAAAAACTAGTTTTTCGAAAAAGTGATAAGAGGCAAAAAAGTTTTAAAAATAATGTGTTAAACTAATGATGCCACAAAATTCATTTGATTTGAACGTACTCAAAAGTTTTAGAGGGATTTAGGGCTGCACACCCCCCTTAAAATTTTTCTGTGCGTTTAGATTTTGTTGTTTCTTTTGTATGAAAAATGCGTTCAGAACAAAAAAGTAACGTGTCCATTTTTATTACAAAATGTCAAGTAGTTTAGGAGATAATGCAAAAAACAATTTCTATTTTGTAACTTCAAAGGGCTGTAACTTTTTTTGTGTACACTTTTGTACTAAGGTAAGTTGGATTCAATCAATTTAAATTTGTCCCCAGAATGCGTGATTAAATTTATGATATACCTTTTTGAAACCTGTATATATAAATTCTTTATAAATTTTTATGTACATTATGTAGGATACTTATTAATATTTTAAAATTAATTTATAACTTACCTGATAGATATATCTACTCGATAATCACAAAAGCTCCAATTCACCAAAAAACTACCGCACTATTTACTGTCCGCTTCGGAAGAAATGATATTGAAGATTTCACAATCGCGACTGGACCGCTGGCACGTTATCACACTATTTTATATAAAACAGAATTAAATTAATAATTAATTCTTGTTAGAATATCTATGGGACAAACAGAACCGGATCTAATTAAAAACGTGTGCTGATTTCTTAGAAACAGCTTATAACATATAATATATATTTGAATTATATTTTTAAAAGAATATCTACACGCTCTAAGCAAGGGACAAAAATATTTCTTTGCATGGGTATTAGCCACTTAGCCAGTCTCAGCAATTTATTTAAAGAAAGAATCAAGAAGTCACTATTGCAACAAAATTTAAAAATTAATACCCTAGCAGGGTATGTATACAGGGTCAGTGGGGAGGAACGCACGAAACTTTAAGACTGTATAATATACGTAAAAATAAGTAAAAATAACTGATATGTTGTTATTCGATTTTTATTTGTTTTCGAGTTATAGCGATAATAACACAAAGTTGTAATTTTACTGCTACTTATCACATTGCTGTAACAGGTATCTGTGATTCGTTTAATAATTAGCTAACTGTCATAATAGTGTAGTGTCAACGTGATTTAATGTCTATTTGACAGTTTGTATAAAAAAAGTTGTTGCAAAATGCCACATACTTATTCAAATAGTGATTATGCAAATATGGTGTTTGTTTATGGCTTTTGTAATGGAAACGGTAGAGCTGCTGTTGAAGAATATCGTCAACGGTTTCCAAATCGGAGAACTCCAGATAAAAATGTATTTATTAGAGTTTTCAACAAACTATGCGAGACCGGAACGCTTCCTAGTTATAAAATAATATCGGAACGTGCTCCCCGACAAAGTTTACAAGAAATACAAAATATTCTGGATTCAGTAGAAGATGATCCAGGGATCAGCTCACGAAGAATCGGTACTCATTTAGCCATTTTTTAAACGAGAGTAATTAACACACTTCACGAGCAAGGTCTATATCCATACCACCTACAACGTGTACAGCACCTACAACCAGAAGATTATGCCAGCCGTATGCAATTTTGTCGATGGATAAATAATAATCGTCGTGTTATATCCCGTATACTTTTTACCGATGAAGTAACATTCACCAGAGACGGTATTAATAATAGCCGCAACTCACATGTATGGTCAGATGAAAATCCACCTGCAACAATTGAAGCTAGTTTTCAGCACAAATTTTCGGTAAACGTGTGGTGTGGTGTGATCGACGGTTATTTAATTGGCCCTTTCATATTTGAGAACCGCCTTACAGGAGAGGAGTACTTGAATTTTTTACAGAATGAATTGCCAGGACTCCTACAGAACATTCCACTAAATATCAGAATGCAAATGTATTATCAGCACGATGGAGCTCCTGCACATTTTGCTCGTCAGGTCAGGCAACATTTAAATACAAAATTTCCAAGGCGTTGGATTGGTCTCAATGGTCCTATTAGTTGGCCGTCGAGGTCTCCAGACCTAACACCGTTAGACTATTTTTTATGGGGCTGGTTTAAAAATGAAGTTTACAAGGTAAAAGTCGACACTCGCGATGCACTAATTCGACGCATTAAAAATGTTGCAGCCACAATTAGAGCAAACCATGACGCAATCAGGAGAGCAACGTTGAATGTTCATAGACGAAGCAGAAAATGCTTACAGGTCAATGGTGGTATTTTTGAAAATTTATTATAAGAGCATTTAACATTAAACTAATGTTAAGTTACAACTTTGTGTTATTATCGCTATAACTCGAAAACAAATGAAAATCTAATAACAACATATGAGTGATTTTTACTTATTTTTACGTATATTATACAGTCTTAAAGTTTGGTGCGTTCCTCCCCACTCACCCTGTATAGTATACTCCGCAGGGCATGTCATCCGTCGACCACATCGTGTGCACATACGATGTGATCCGACTTACCCCTGCTGGTTAACGAACAGATATTTAATTCCTTACTTCCCAACCGTTCTAAAAGAATAAGAGACTAAAAACACGCCAACTGGGACCTCTTCAGAACCTTCTTATCAATTACACTCCTGAGTAAGGCAATTTAACACAGCCTGATGATATCGACCAAGGTATCACGGTTATTACCGAACTGATAAATCAAGCAATTGAGATATCAGTCCCCAATAGGGTTATCAACCCCGGTAAACACCCCTACCTCAATATATTATCAATAAAATCAAACAAAAGAGACAACTCCTTTGTCAGTTTCAACGCACCCCCTAGTCAAAACAGAATATAACCACCTGTCTGCGGTGATCAAACTACAGGCTAACAATCTGCAAGCCAGACAATGGATTACAGCTACCTCTAGTCTTGATTACTGCGACGGTGGCGCGTTCTGGCACAAACTCAAATGCCTAACGAAACAGAAAACCAATAACCCTTCTCACCTTGTGGTAAACAACCAAATTATCAATTCAAATCAACAGAAGGCCAACGTCTTCAAAATCCACCTACAAAATACTCTAATCTCTTCCAATGATCCTAGATTTGACCTCGCCTTTCGTACAAGGATCGAGAGAGACATAACACGACAGCTCGGCGCCACTTTCGACCCGCAGGCACCACATGATCATCCTATCACGGCACCTGTGAATCAACAAACCTTCAATAATTTTTGTCAAATCGGCAAATCGAACTCACCAGGACCTGACAACATTGTCAGGAACTGCGTGAAACAACTTCCACCGAGCTTCATTCTCTACCTGACAAATATAATCAATGCCACCCTCAAACTCTACTATTTTCCATCTCCGTGACAAGTAGCGAATACAATCATGCTCTTGAAAAAGGACAAAACCCGTACCGATCTAAATTCTTACAGACCGATATCACTCATAAACGTTCTAGCTAAGGTCTTCGAGAAGATCCTCAAGGAGAGACTCGTTGACTTTACCACCGAACATAACATCATCCCATCATTCCAATTCGGCTTTAGAGAAGGGTACTCTACCAAAACGGCATTGACAGAAATCATCACATACCTTACACAAAGTCTGAACGACGGAAAAGTATCACTAGGCATCTTTCTCGATGTTCAAAAAGCCTTTGACTAAGTGTGGCATGCTGGACTGTTCAAGAAACTGTTGAGCATCGGCCTGCACCTTTCATTTGTCAGACTTATCCATTCATATGTCTCTCATCGTCTAATAACGGTCAAGGAGCGGGGTCACTTCTCTGATTCTTTTACTCCTACAGCAGGAGTACCACAAGGTTCAGTGTTGGCCCCCATGTTATACATAATATACAATAGTGACTTTCCTAACCCTCGATGCACAAACACAACCACTTTGCTCTACTTTGCAGATAATACAGCTCTCGTAACAACATCACGAGACGTAGACTCAATTCTTAGGTATACTCAAAATCACCTTAACCTGGTTGACAGGTAGTGTCGGAGATGGAGAGTAACACCCAACCCAAGTAAAACTCAAATGATTCTCTTCAGACATCCATATCGCAGTCAATCCATCACACCCATAATTTCGATGCACAACTTTGAAGGCCAATGACCGAATACAGCTCTTGCGGATCGAGTACCTGGTAGTGTTTACTTAACACTGATTTTAATGTATTCAGAAGTTATAACCAAAATCCTTCTTACGCTATATTACTGTTCGTGCCAGCAACGAACCGCAATGCACAACCTTAGGCTACTAGGGAGACCGACTACAGCTCCGTGACCGGATCGAGTACCTCGGTGTAGACATGCTCACTTCGAGCTTGTCTAGACAGGGGGAAACGGTTTTCTGTGGTTTTCCGATCCCATTACACAACGATACTTGTATATTGCAGAGGATTCAACCACAGCTGCCCACATGCGATCGCGTTTCATACATTTATTAATTTATCAATTTGTAATTTTACATATTCACATATATACTAATTATTTTTAGAACAATAAATTCTAAAAAGAACCGTTTAACCAATGCCTTATCTCTGATTGTCCAGGCGCTCCTCCGACGACCAGTCATCATAACACCAGTGGAACCACGACACAAGAAAAACACCAGCCACACAAAAAAACAAACCACATCCTGAAAAGGTGGAAAACCTAAAGCAGGACAACAAAACTCCAGATCCAAGAAGACACCCAAAGAGAGTACCAACTGACATGAATTATATAGTATACTTGTTCTTTATGACTTGTCTAGGTACACTCGACACTGTCCTATGGGTATAGGATCTGTCCATTATATCGTATACAAATTGGGTTACAGCAAAGTTTGTGCGCAGTGGGTTTCTTCCCTTTGTTAGAAGACCAAACAAGCCTGCGAATGGGTTTATCCTTGCAACATCTCCCGGAATACAAGCAAAATGGTAATGACTAATCATGGTTTTATTATTTCGAACCAATCATCACCGATGCAATGGAAACACGAAAATTCTCCACCATCGCATAATCTAACTTTCAACCTTCTGCAGGAAAGGTCATGTTAAAATTTTTGTGGCCATGAAGAACCCTTGCTCACGTTAATTATTATCTAAGATCTTATAATATATAATCTTAAAATATTAAATAAAACTCAGTTGAACCAAGAGGGTATTGGCATTGGCCTTCACAAGTAAATAAACGCACGCGTTGATCGACCTGAGATAGCATTGCAAAAGACACGGTTATTTTTATAAATCTATAAATATAAACTACAAGAAAGACAAGAAACAATCTTGACCTAGCATTACGTTCGTTTATCATTACATACTATAAATAAGCTATAATATAATGCTTAGTGAAATAATTGCATTTTATTATAAAATCAGTGCTAAACTAAGGACCTAAGGACCACAACACATTGGCGGTACATATAATAACACAAAGCAATAAAAGAAAAAATTATTGGGAAGTTCTCACGTGGTATCTTTCTTTTGTACGACAATGCTCGGCCTCATGTTGCCTTACTTCAAGAAACAACAAACAAGAAATCTACAACGAAAGAATTGGGGGATACTAAAGCTTTCACCCTACATCCCATTTTGTCGCCTTGCGATTTTCATATTATTGGGCTTATGAAAAAGACGTTAAAGG